TTTACTTATAACCATAGGCAGCAGGGCCATGTTTGGCACATAGGCTGTTGTTTGCTGACCCTGCTGCTCTAGGTAATAGTAACTTCAAATGGAATGCAGACGTTGACAATGCAGGAAAAGACAAATCTAAGAAATGCCTATTATCTCCACCACGATTTGCTATAAAAGTTACCATTCTCTAAGGGGCACACCTATAAATAAGGTCCCTTAACAATGAGATAGTAGAGTCAAATTTGAGCCATAAAGAAGAAAATTAAATACTTTGTACTTAGGTAGCTAAGTATTTTCTAGTTCCATGATTATGGGCGTGAGAAGAGTATGAAGGGGGAAGTCACTTAAGGCACTCATTTAACGTTAATTTCTCATTTTCCACTGCTTGCCATCAACTAGGGAATGACTTACCTAAAATGATTACAGAAAATGGTTTCACTTCCTTGATCAGGAAGCTCAGAACAGTAACTATGAAGTTAGTAATGGTTTCAGTATTATCGCAAGTCATAATGGAAATGATTTGCACTACGGTGGAGAGAGAAAGGGAAAAAACGCTCAAGAACTGTTAATTAACTTCACTGTTTCCCCACAAATGCTAGGAGTATTAAAAACAAGGTTGCTGGAGTGCAAACATCAGGACTTAATGAACAATGGGATGCAATTGAAGTAAGAGGGAATGACTTAATCGGGACAGTGGGTTAATTACAGGGATAATGAATCTTCTGGAAGGACAAACTAAATGGAACATCGGGAGGTGGGGAGGATGGGGACAGCCACCGAGGTAAAGGAAGGAAGGAGATGAGGAGTTCCTGCTAGAGCCGGCTAGAGCCCCGCTATATGTGAAGTATTTTATTAAACTTGATTATCCCCAACACGGAAACTACGAGGGGGGAAAGACAGACTGCTGTGGGCTGCTATCAACCTTTAATAAATCATAGTCAAGCCCTAACCGGTTTGGCTCAGTGGATAGAGCATCATCCTGCGGACTGAAAGGTCCCAGGTTCGATTCCAGTCAAGGGCATGTACCTTGGTTGCGGGCACATCCCCAGTGGGAGGTGTGCAGGAGGCAGCTGATTGATGTTTCTAACTATCCCTCTTCCTTCCTCTCTGTAAAAAAATCAATAAAATATATTTTTTAAAAAATAAATAAATAAAATAAATCATGGTCGAGGCATTAAGATTTCTGCAGGCATGTGTCTGTGCTTTCTCAAGAACTTCTAATAATCTTAAAGACCTGCTCGCAGAGCCTCGAAGGAGGCGGTGGTGTGTGTGGAGCGCCGCTGCCAGGCTGGGAAGATGCTCTCTCTCCGCGGCAGCCACTGGCAGGCTCACTGCCTGGGCATAAGAGTTCAAAAGACACGTTCTCGCCTAACTTTGATTACAAGTCAACCTTCGCTTGCTAATTCAGCACACTTGCCACGAGTTACTGGCTTTCCTCATCTCTTCCTCATTTCTCCCCTGTGGCACACTTTCCTGGAACCCAACTCCTCAAGTCTTCGCTTGCTGTCCCGAAGTTCCAGGCGATCTGCTTGGCGTGCATCCCTGTGACAGCGCGCTCAGGCCCCATCCCTGTGACAGCACACTCAGGGCCCCATCCCCGTGACAGCGCACTCAGGGCCCCACTCGCTATGATAGACAGCACACTCAGGGCCCCATTCCCGTGACAGCGCGCTCAGGGCCCCATCCCCGTGACAGCACACTCAGGGCCCATCCCTGTGACAGCGCGCTCAGGGCCCATCCCTGTGACAGCGCGCTCAGGGCCCCATCCCCGTGACAGCGCGCTCAGGGCCCCATCCCTGTGACAGCGCGCTCAGGGCCCCATCCCTGTGACAGCACACTCAGGGCCCATCCCTGTGACAGCGCGCTCAGGGCCCCATCCCCGTGACAGCACACTCAGGGCCCCATCCCTGTGACAGCGCGCTCAGGGCCCCATCCCTGTGACAGCGCGCTCAGGGCCCATCCCTGTGACAGCGCGCTCAGGGCCCATCCCTGTGACAGCGCGCTCAGGGCCCCATCCCCGTGACAGCGCACTCAGGGCCCCATCCCTGTGACAGCGCGCTCAGGGCCCCATCCCCGTGACAGCACACTCAGGGCCCATCCCTGTGACAGCGCGCTCAGGGCCCCATCCCTGTGACAACGCACTCAGGGCCCAGGCTGCTTCAGCAACAACAGCTGACGTGCCTAACACTTCGCGAAGCAGGGAAAGCCACAGAGCAGCAGGGTTTGTTCCTCTTCCAGCTGTCGAATCCGAATCCCTGGGTAGCAGAGGAAGACTCCAGTCCCGCGGCTGCTAACCTCCGCGGATGCCAGCCTGCGGAGGCCGGGCGGCCTCACTGACCACCAGCCCTGGTAGAGCAGGATGGCTTCTGATGGCACCAGAGTGAGTGTGACCAGAGCCTTTTCTAGGATTTGAGGAAAGACAGAGGCGTTTTCCTCCCAGGATGCAGGGAACAAAGAATTATTTCCCGGAGCCCGTTTGTTAGTACAATGATTTCATGTAGAAGAAACTGGCGGGGTGTCTCTGTGTTCTAGAAAACACCCCACACCTCAGGGAGAACACATCCTAATCTTAGAGGTGTGAAACCTCATGTTTAGGTTGTTATATGAGGCGCTGTGTTTCTGAGCATTTAGCCAAGTAAGAGTTCGGGGCCTCCTTTCCACGTCTGTGCCCTGGCACCAGCCGGCGCTGCACGTGGCCAGGGGCTGCTCCGGGTCCCTCTGACTGTTCTCCCTGAAGGGAATTTACACACACACTCACCCCAGTGTGCTCAGCACACTTTGGTTTTCAATTACTTCAACCACCTTGGGCAAACTGAGAAAATCAAGACTTCAAACCACTGGGTGTGCCCGCCAGGGAGGGGGGTTAAAGTGAGAACGAGGGGAGGAGGGAGCAGAGAGAGATGATGGTTAAAGCTGGGGAACGTGCCTGAAAGGAAATGAAAAACTTTAAATTGTTTATATTGACCTTCTGCTAACATTTTGTCACACAAGCATAGACCAGATCAAGTGATTTCTCAGGAGCATCTAGTACAATTGTCCCCCATGAAAGAGAGGCTGGGCAGAGCCAATAAAAGGCACTCGTGTTCACGGTCAAAGGCACGGCCCCTAGAAAGAAGTGGCCCATCCCTTTCCAGCTTCAACTCTAGACATCTGATGGCAAATCCCTATTTGAAAAGGAAGATTTACGTGGATATCTAAAATCATAATTTTCCCTTAGTCTTTTTCCCAGGGACGATAAAGGGAAAAGAACACAAGAGTCGATACGAATTTCTTCAACATCAGGAAACATTTTGATGATGAGTTGAGTGTTAAAAAATCAGAAACATGGTTTTAATTGATTGTGAAATAAATAATGTTTCAAAATGAAAGGAAAAAGTGTTCAGATGTAAAGCATTAAGAGGGACTCAAATCTCAAAAGCTGCTTCAGGCACCCACTCCCAACCCCATCTTCTTTCCTCGCCTTCCTGTTGGGGTTCATGTTTTCATGACAGTCAATTACTGCTGGATTTCCTGACCTATATTCACTTGCAAGTATGCCTCTCCGGGAACCTGCGGGGCTTCTAAAATGTTTCAAAGTAAAAGCACAAACATCTTCTGGTTTAGGACCAAGGCCCTGGGTGTGAAGACAAACTCAGGATCGGTGGAAGCAGAGACAATAGGCCCGGATTAAAGCTCATCTTCTGATCTCCAAGATGCCAGTGGGGTTCTCCATCCCCAGGGATTCTGATATAATCAGTCCCAAGGAAAGACCCAGACATTGGTCTACCTCAGTGGTTCTCAACCTTGGCTGCACATTAGAATCACCTGGGAATCTTTTTAAAACCCTGATTTCTGGGCCTTATCCTCCAGAAATTCTGTTTCTTTGTGCTGAGCTTCCCGCCTTGTGGGTGGCGGTTGGGTGCACATGGTGCCATCTTCAGTGGAGGGTGAGCTATATCTTCCAGTGACCGAGAACTCGAAACAGCTGATCTGTGGGCTACTCTCCCACCAGAGAACATAACCATAACTCAGTCTACAGCAACGTGGAGCCTTGTCCAATTAGGGGATGAATTCTTCCAGGATGACACCGCTGTGCTCACCATGCAGAGCAAAGCCACAGGAGACTCAGCCCCTCACTGAGCGATTCCAAAACCTCACAGTAACTTTTTCCTGCTTCTCCACTAACGAGATTGTGAAGCAGCCCAGAGTCTCCGTACGGCTAATGATCAAACCAAAACACAGCAATCTCTTTCCCAAGTCTCTATGAACAGAAAAGTACAGAATATTCCTAAGTAATTTCGGAGATACTTGCCATGCTTGATTCTCTAAAATTTCTGTATGTGCAAGAAACTAGTCCCTCTCCCTTTAGGAAGGGAAGGGGGTGGGTGGGGCGGGGACGGGTGAAAAGGAAGTTCACAGATGGGCAACCCCCCTCAGCAGCCAGGCACTCATCTTCCTGCAGTGATTTGCAGCTTTCCTCCAAAAATAACTATGAGATCACAGAACATTAAGTGCATGACACCAAACATTTGTAAATAATCCAAGAAAATAAAGTAAGGCCATCATGTTGCATGGGGAACGCAGTGGAATTTGTCTTGTGTTATCGTTCTAAAAGAAGACGGCCTCAATTTGGCTGAAATATATCTTCACACATTGTTTTGCAGAGCAGAGCTGTTTGAGAAATTCTGATGGCAATTATAAGTGCTGAATGGGGAGTACTTTGCATTTCCTTTGACGATGCTGAAAGCTATAAGCAATCCTGATATTAAAATCTTTGGAAATTGATGAGTACCCCAGGCATCATTACAAGACTTTCTCCCCCAACCAAAGTAATTAAAATCTATTATGTGAATACATGTTCATATTTTATCAACTACTGTTTTTAATCGACTAAACACGTGAAACCTCCCAGAAATAGGTATGATATCTGTTCATTTTAAATGACGCCCCAGTCGCCACCCCCTGCCCCCCCTCCAATTCCCAGCCAGACGTATTCCCGAGTCCAGATGGGAGCGTCAGCATGGACATACCACAGTGCTGAATTCCGGGACCTGCCACAGCAGCCAGTCTTCGTTAAGGGTGTACAGGGCTTTGCACGTGATCACATCTACGGGACCCTTGTTTATTTTCTGGTTTAAAGTCGTCACCAACAAATAGAACGGCTCTCCAACCGTCTCCTTGGAAAAGACACAAAAGTGACAGTCAGCTCTCTGTGGAATCCACTGTACTTTCCAAAGAATTAAAGTTTCAGTTTATGGCAGTACAACACGAGACAGGAGGCAGTGTTTTCTAACAACCAAAGGAAACTCCCAGGAAATACATACTCCTCCCCTTAGGACTGAGAGCGGGTGTGCGTGCGCGTGCGCGCACACACACATACACACACACACGTGTGCACATGCATGCGCGCAGGCAGTGGACAGCCACGTGAAGTGCGTGTGGTGGTGGAGCACTCTTGTCTGCTGACGCCTGTGTGCAGACCTATGCTTGTCAGTTGGCTGTCACCTAAGAACACTCAGTAGATGCGGAGGTTTAACCTTTGTACACATTCCTATTTAATTGCCTGTTTTTTAAGAGAAAAACTGAAAATAAATGGCTTCTTAAAAATTCACAATAATTAGCCTTGGTAACTAGAATAAACATAAGGACATTTTAGACGTTTGCTAAGAAGGATGCTTTTTGGTGTTAACAGCTTTTCATGAGGGAAGTGGCCTTCAGTTAGACAGCAGGCAGCCTTGTCTGCAGCCCCTGCAGGCCAGTCCCGGGCTGTCCCAGCCCAGGGCGCAGTCCTGCCTGGCACCTTGGCTGGGCGGGGCCGCAAGTGTGTCACCACCTTCCCCTGGACCAGAGCCAACTGCCAGCGCTAAGGCTTTTGCAAACATCCTGATGGCTCCTTTCTCCACACTCTGCCACCTGCACGTTCTCCTGGACCAGGGGCTGCCAGCCCTGCTGTAATGAAATGCCTCAAATTTGTACCTACTTTGTGGTCAAATGGAGTCTGGGCAGTCCAAGTGGAAGCTTGTGTGTTCTGCCTCTGCTGCAGCCTTTGCTAAATAATAAACCCTCTATGAGCAACGGACATTAACCAGAATATGTGGGGGAGGAAGAGCAGGGCCAGACCCAGGAAGTCAGACTGCCTTTGTGATGATGAAAGGTCAGCCACGTGACCAGTTTACGAAGTCAAGCTTTCTGGCCACTGCATCTGGCTTTGAAAGGAGCATCCATGGACCACTCTCCTGCTTTCCCTTGAACATGTAAACCGAGGCCTCTTTTAAGTCTCCTGGGTCCCTCCACCCAATCCCATCCTTAGACCAGCGGTTCTCAACCTGTGGGTCGCGACCCCTTTGGCGGTCGAACGACCCTTTCACAGGGGTCGCCTAAGACCATCCTGCATATCAGTTATTTACATTACGATTCATAACAGTAGCAACATTACAGTTATGAAGTAGCAATGAAAGTAATTTTATGGTTGGGTCACAACATGAGGAACTGTATTTAAAGGGCCAGAAGGTTCAGAATCACTGCTTTAGACTTATTCCAAGGGCATGAGCCCTCCCCACTCCCGGAGCTTCCTCTTGCCCCTTCTGCCCCCGACACGCCAGTGGGCTCCGTTATCCCTTCTCTCTCCCCTGCTGCAGCATCCTGAGTCTCCTCCTCCCTGTAGGACAGAGGTGGGATGTTCAAAAATTCCCCAGGGGAGACAGGGTTGGAACTAGTGCGCGGCATTTAAATTCCTTTGAGAAACTTCCTTTATTTCGTGGTCCACAACCACACTGCTCTCTTCTCTTCCCCTTCACCCTCTTGGGTAATGTCCTGACCGCAGACCTAGAACCTCTGCTTCTCCTTTCCTCCAGCACATCAGAGACGGGGTGGCGCCCGGGTGAGGGGCTGGAGGTGCCCACAGAGGAGATGGGGTAATGCCCTGGGGAGGCGCTGGAGGTGATCACAAAGGCTGGAGTCAGGGGCCAGGTGGGCTCTCCTGGGCTGTGTGGACTCAAAGGAATTCTTCCAGGGGCAGCTGGACTGGGATAAGTAGCATCTCATCTTACACGGCCGCTCACAAACATGGTTATAACCCGGATGCCCATCAGCAGAATTCCTGGGGGCTCTTATATAAAAAATCCTGGTGCCTGGGCCCTACTTTAAACCCACACACCAGACTCTCTAGAGCTAAGGCCTGGCATCTGTTGTGTTAACACCTTCTTAGGGGACTCAGAGGTGGGCGTAGGAAGCCATGGAGCCCTGCGGTTTCTCTGTCACCTCTGAACACAAGGTCTAGGTTAGTCATACCTGCTGAGGGCAGAGGCATCTTGTCAGACCAGGGCACACAGTGGCCCGGGAGCTGGCCTGTGGCAGAGCCCTACTCACCCAACAGCCCCACTCCCATCCTCTCCTGTGCTGGCACCTAAGCTTGGCCCCTTTACTGCCCTTTTTCTGTGAGACCTGACTCTGGCCCTGGCTGAGCCAGAGGCTTTCAGCATCTGTGATCTCCTTCCATCCTTAAATCCTCGGCTAAGCCTGTAGGAAGGTCCCTGCCTCACCGGGGAGGCAGTCAGTAAGTGGTGGCTCAGAGCTCCAATCCCTGGGGCTGTCGCATGCCAGCTGTGGGGCCTGGGGAAACACATCTATGCTGTGTGCCCCAAATCCCCGGGTGCAAAATGGTCATAAAGGTACCTACCTAGTAGGATTTAAATGAGAAAAGGTGAGCAAAGCTCCCAGCATGATGTCTGGGAGCTTTATTTCGTGGTCCACAACCACACCGCTCTCACTGCCATTTTCAATAAATGGCAGTAATTAATATTATTGTTACTTTGCTGCCAGAGCCTGGGAGGTTCACAGGGGTAGTTACCTGCGGTTACAGAGCCAGTGGTGCCGCCAAATGTTTGTGGGGTGAGGCAGGAGGACTAAGGCCGTCAGAGTCCCACACCACCTCGGGCACCTGGTGAGGGAGTCGGGGCCTCCCTTGCAGAAGGAATTATTCTATTGAAAACAAAAGTATCGCCCACTGGCTCAATGCCACTTCCTCCCAGTGAGCACCCCGCCCCCTCACCCCAAGCGCTCAAGATACTCTTCAGTCAGCACTGTGGAATCTTGACCCAGAATCCTCTGCTCAAGGGTGCCCTTAGGGCTTGGAGCCCAGATTTTCCAAATGCTTCATCTGTTTAATGCCCAAGTAGCAAGAGCAAGACACCGACCAAATCTTGAGGGCCCAGAATTAGAATCGGAAGATCCCAGAAGAAAGAGCTGGAAAGGAATTTAAAACCAGTGACCACGCGATACCCAGAGACACACAGCTATCTGGGGCTGAGATGCACTTAGCGCTCGAACCTGCAGCTTCTAACCAAGACTCCTAGTCCAGTGCTCATTCCACTACCCCAGGGTTCTCAAATGTAGGGCAGGTGGCATTACCTGGAGGAGCTTAGGAAACATGGATCATGGGGCCCCCGCTCAGAGTTCTGGTTCAGTGGCATTGTGGTGGGGCAGCCATCTGCCTTTTAAGACTAAGTCCCGAGAACTCAGTAAGAGTCCTGCTTAGAAGGGTCCTGTTTAGAGGCAGTTGTGGCAGAAACTAGATTGGTGGGAAGCAAAAAATATTCACCCCAGAAATAGCCACTCAACACCTCCCAAAAGCGTGTGATGATTTATACCAAGTAAACAGAAAAGAAGGCAGATTTCATTAATCTTAATAAATGGGCATTGCCTTGGGAGAGGAAGGGGTTGGTAAAAAAATTGTTGTGCATCTATTTGTAAGATTGCATTAAACATTCAACTAAGCACAGTCTATTTAAAGCGCTGCTTTTGGATCTAAACTTAAGTAGCACTGTTAAAACCTGTGGCATAGCAGTGTATCTTATTCAAAGTTTAATTAGATTTTGAAACGAGCTACAAATGCACAATTATGCAGTTTTGCTGGAATCTGGGTGGTTTGAAATGAAAGAAGGATAAGAACCCTCTGCACCAGGGGCCTCCGAGGGCCGAGGGAGGTTGGTTCAGCAGAACACTCTCGCTCTCCTCCTGTTAATAGCTATAATGACGGCCAGCACTGACGTGCTAAGCAACTGCACACATTTTCTCATCCGCGCCTCAGAGCAGGCCTGGATCTTCTTCCTCCAGGGCCACAGGTTATAAAACCTCAGCTCAGACAGCCCGGGGCCTCTGGTAAGTGGTGGAGTCTTGATTTCGGACCAAGCAGTGGGCTCCAGGGCCCACTCTCTAAACCACTGGAATCTGCACGAAGTTTGTATTTGAAAAAGGTTCGAGATTCAATTAGATTACAGCCAGGATCTTAGAGTAACTCCAACAAAGTGAACTCAAAGGGCAGATGGCTCCTTGGGGACTTGCTTCAATACCGGATGACTGGTTAGAACGAGTGTAATTAGCTTACAGCACATTGGTAGGTAAATGGTGTTTCCCAGATGCTTCAGAGGCCCCGAGAATAGCGTGTTCTTTTCAGTATCTGAAATATTCCCTCCACCCAGTACATTTTCTTAAATGGGCTGACTGGGCCCTGATTGTTAATGAATGAAGTGAGGTGGGCTCAAAAGTCAATGGGATGGGGGTAAGAGGGGCGATACCTGTAATATGATCAACAATAAAAAGTTTATTTAAAAAAAAGTCAGTGGGTATAAAATTTCAGTTATGCAAGATATGTTCTAGACATCTATTGTCCAACATCATGCCTATAGATAAAAACACTTAAAAAACTGATAAGAGGGTAGGTCTCATGTTCTTACCACAATAAAATGTTTAAAAGAGAAGAGTCCTACCTGAGGAAATTCTAAGTGAATGTACATTTGCATAGGCCAGTTACAGCAAAAACAATTTTTATTTCCCCCTCTGTGTGTTCCTGGTGAGGACCAGTGATGGGGAACTCAAGAAGTTAAACGTTTTTAGCTTTAGACGTATAGTTAACAGGCTTAGTAATTGATGCAAGTAGAAAGCTATTGCTCCAGGGACTGGAATGTATGACTGGACCTGCCCTGACTTCAAGATCTGCAAGCAATTCGACCTTGTGCCCCAGAAGTACTCAAGCGACCAAGATGGCACCTGAGTCATTGTGGCCCAAGGAGAGAGAGTCCACCACCCGGGATGCAGAACAAGAATCACCTGACAGCCCGGCTGGTGTGGTCCAGCGGCTGAGCGTCGACCTATGAACCAGGAGGTCATGGTGCGATTCCCAGTCAGGGCACATGCCTGGGTTGTGGGCTCAGTCCCCAGTGGAGGATGTGCAGGAGGCAGCTGATCAATGATTCTCTCATCATTGATGTTTCTACCACTCTCTCCCTCTCCCTTCCCCTCTGAAATCAATAAAAATATATTTTTAAAAAGACAGTTAAAAAAAAAAAGAGTCACCAGTGTCAGATAAAGGGATGCTCAGAAAATCATCAAACTGCAGCTTTTATCTGACTAACCTTTCCCCTGAATTCTAAATCCTTTACCTATACTTTTCTTCTCTTTGTAAAAAGGTAGGCTCGAGATGAGATGTAAGACAGTCTTTTTAGTGTACAGAACCCGCCGCCTTCTCAGATCACCGGGACTAAAAGCGAGGGAATGCTAACACCGTGGAGCGCTCAGGACTTATCCTGGCAAAGACAGTGGCATCTGCTAAAATTAACTGCCTATTGTCTTACCTCTGACCTTCTGAGGGGGGTGTGACACTTACCCGCAGGAAGCCAGAAAGGCAGACGGACATCCAGTTTGTGAGGAGTTTTTCAACCACGGACTCAGTGCGCCTCAGCATGAGTTTAGGCTGCATGTTACTGGACTGTTCCATCAGGTCCCTGGTCAGTACCTCCAGGATGCTGGTCAGATAGACCAGCTTGGTTTGCAGTGCGATGGTTAAGAAGGAGGCAAACAGACACCTGTTTAAAAATAAAGCCTTGGTCACCATAGCCAAGACCTGGAAACAACCTAAGTATCCTTCAACAGGTGCATGGGCTAAGAAGACGTGACACGTATATGTATATACATGTGAACTGGAATACCATTCCGCCATGAACAAGGATGAAATCTGGCCATTTGTAACCACATGAATGGACCTTGAGGGCATCATGCCAAGTGAAATAAGGCAGACAGAGAAAGATAAATACGTGGGACCTCATTTATAGCAAAAGAGATCAGATCATTTGTGGTTACCAGAGGCAGGTTAAGGGATGAGAGGGGGGAATGGACTGAAGGGGGTGAAAAGGTACAAATGTCCAGTTCTAAGATAAGTACTTCCTGGGGGTGTCATGTACGGCATGGTGACTATAGGTAACACTGCTGTATGGTGTATTTGAAAACTTTTAAGAGAGTAGATCCTAAGAGTTCTCATCACAAGGGAGAAAAGCATTTTCTGTAGCTATACGAGAGTAACTACACTTATTGTGGTAATCATTTTGCCATATATTTACGTCAAATCATCATGCTGTATACCTTAAACTTATACAGTGCTATATGGCAATTAAATCTCAATATAAGCATAAAAGAAAAAGATATACAGATTACAAAAAGCACACACACACACACACACACACACACGAAAAAAGAGAGCTGGGTAATGTGCTTAGCATCAGCTGTGACACAGATGGTAGTTTCCACCGAAGCCCGAGGGGCCATGGGGTACTGTCAATGGGCGCTTTTGTTCAATGTCTGGGTTTCAACCACCTTCATCCTCCATCCATGAAAACCACACGCCAATGTTAACTTCAGCACATTTTATGTGTTTTCAGCACTTGAACTTTAAACTAGAGCGGTAACAAAAAGTGAATGTCTTTCCCCAAAATTCAGGGTGTTTTTAAAAATAGAAAATAGCACTTCTGCTTTTTTGATTCAGGACTCATGGTTTTTTCTTGGTGTTGGGGTTTTGCAGGGTTTTTTTGGGGAAGAAGGTTGCATGTGTACATCTTTAGAATAGAATTTGTGTTGGGGGGTGTGATCTGAAATGGAGGTTCCCCAGCAGTGTGACCGCCCAGCCAAGCAGCCTGCTGTCAAGAGCCAAGTCCAGGTGGTGTGTGGAAATAAAATAAGGAGCTCAGGTTTTATTTTCTCTACTTAATGGCTTTCAAAATATAAACAAATTGACTAGTACCTGTCCTTCACTGAAAAATTCTTCTGTTTTTCAAGGGTGTGGATGACAGTAACAAGGAAACTTTTATTACAAATTAGGGCATCCAAAGCTGTGAGTCTCTCATTCTTGTCATTGGCATCTCTGTTCTGGAAAAAAAAAAGTGTATACTATAGTATAATAGAATATAATAACTTAAAGTTAGAAAGTAGATCCACAATGGGTTTTCCAAGACAATGAATTATTTAATATTGAATTCATGATCCCCAAAAACCCACAATAAAAATTCGAAGTAATAATGGAGATGACGATGATGATGATAACACTATGCAAGTCAGGCAGTCATGGGCTAGAAATGAAAACTTATAGACTTACATGCATATCTTCAGTGAAGATGTGTGTGAAGCCACCTGACTGAGAGGAAGGAGACACTTTTATTATTCATAACATCCAAAGGAAATTAATAGTGCTTTTTGTTATAATACCCAAGTTCGTTTTAATAAAGCAGAGACACTATTTGCTAATCTGAAGAGCTCCTGGGTTTATGCTCACTGCATAGTCTCTAATACATAATAAATAATCATTCAGCTCTCAAGAGACACCAGTGAATTCTGAAAACCTCTAAGAAGAAGAATTATCATGGCCTCAGTCCCGATTTTGGTAGATGAAGGCCTCTCACACTTTAAAAGAATTGACTCACAGTTAAAGAAGTAGTAGTTAAATATGCAGACCACTCCTCATGCCCTTTAACTTCTGAGCATAAATATAGAATTGTGTTCGCAAGTTTTTGCAAGTCTTAGCTTAGTAGTATCTATTGTCTCAATGCCCAAGGTTATTCAAGAGAGTGGTTAAAAGTAGAATCTAGAGCCAAACTAATGAGCTTCCAGTCCTGGCTCATCACAGACTGGTCACCTCACTGTTGATAGGTTGCAGAACCTCTCTGTGCCAGACTCTCCTCATCTGTAAGACGGGGACAACAGTGATTCCACTTGTGGGCTTGGTGTGAAAATAAAATAAAGGAATGCAGAGTAAGTGCTCAATGTCAGCTATTATTGTTGTTTTTATCACTAACTCACAGCAAACTAGACCACGGTACTGTTGTCCTGCTGCTTTCTAAAAATACCTTTATGCGCAATGCTATGTAGCTCTAGGATATAAACTTTTAAACGTGAATTTTCTTTTTTTTAATGTATCATAAATCTTATTGGAATTAAATGATTAAATTTTAAAAGCATGCTGAATAACACTTTAAATGAGTCAACAGAATGAAAAATAAACTCCAGAACATTCAGTGTTCTTTCTTCTTTGGGGGTAATAATTGGAACTTTAGGATATTTATCTTATTAAACTTCTTCTGCAGATAATTTTTGCTTTATTTTTTTAGCCCAAGCAAGAAGACCTTAACCATTTTGGCCATACTTTCCCTTAGTAGTAGGCAGAAAAATCAAACTCTGGATTTGCATCTCCTACTTCCTACTATTCTTCTGCTGAGTCAACTTTAAGTAGATGGGCAATTTAAACAGATTGATTCTTGATCTTAAATAGGGAAATGCCACCTTGGCTATTGTTGTGTAGGCTGTTGTCATTTTTTTTATTTGACAGACTAAGGGAAAAGAGGTCAGTGCCCTGACTGAAGAGTCAGATACTGCATGTTTTAAACATTCTTGCGGCACACCCGTTGAAAATCGCTGTCCTAAGATAATATAGAATTGTTCCTGGGACTTTTTTAAACAATTGCAACAGTGCTTCTTTGTATTCATCACTCTCTCTTGCTCCTGATTACTGAATTTAGAAGAGGGGAAAATTTATTTTTCAGGCCACAGATTACTCTCTTCAGCACTCAAGAGCAATCATTAACTGTAAAAGCCCACACAGTACTCATGTTGATGGTAGAAATCTCTGTTATTTTCTTGGTATTAAATTCTTAATGGGGATGTCAGAGAGCTGGGAAATGGGACTCCTGATGCAAGCTGGGCTGAGGCTCTGCGCTGTCATCCTGACTCAGGGCACCGAGCTCCCTCCCTCCAAGGCGCTCTTCTGCAGAAATGGGTGAGGTGGCAAAATGGCAAGTCTTGGCGGCTGGCACTCTTGGAGGATAAGTTTAAAAAACACTTTATAATGCAAAAAGCTGAAGTCTTATTTATAGCCTCCTTGATTTACGACAGTAAGACTTACACAAAAAATATGGTGGGTGTTTGATGGCAGTATCCCAATCTCCAGACACAACATCACACATCACGGTGCCCACTTCTAGAATTATAGAGAAACTAGAAATTGCTTATGGCATGGGTCTGGATTTCTGAACTCTAGGCTTCTGGCCAAATGTAGCAGAGAAGCTTCTGAGAAGGGATAGAAGCTTGCTTTTGGCCTGGAGAGATTTCTGGCTTAAAAATCTTGGTTTAATCATGCTAATTGGTGTTGATGTGTTCTGGAGGTTGGGCCTCTTGGTGGTCACCAGTTCTGGACAAAAAGGGCAGTTGGGGTATTGGGATGTGGGGGTGATGACAGGAGGATGAGTGTACCTCCCCAAAGACTTGGGAGGGTAAATGAAGGAGGCCGCATGAGTGGGTGAGAGAATGGAGGTGTGAGAACATAAGTGAGATCGAAACCCAAAGGGTTGAGTAGACTACCCCTTGGAGTCCTACAGCAAATCCATCATTGCGTGCAGCTACTGCTACTAAATGAGGATGCTACTTACGGATTAGCTAAATAGTAACTACTGAAGGGAACCATAAAAACTCTACATTGTTAAGAATGGCTGTTATTAACTCAAATTATCCTAGACATGTCGCCTGTCCTGCCTCTCAGCCGGTAGTACTTTTCATTTCCAATTGAGAAGTAATAGTGAATAATCTAGTGGCTGCAATGGAAATCATGCAGATAAACACAACAAATTGGCCAGCCCACAATTTATTGATTTTTAAATAAACTAGCTCGCTTCCCCGCTACAAATTCAGTTCTACACGGGTAGTAAAATAAAGCAAAAATCATCACTCTGAACTTCTGTCCCTCCGAGGTTTTTGTTACTGGACAAAGAGTAATTGCCAGCGACCCATCACTGCTCTGTGCCCTAATCAACCCAATTAATAACTATCCGCCTCCCTGCTCTGCTCCAACCTAAGCCACTGTTCTGTACCAAGCACATCATCTGCAGCTGCCTGGGAAGCAAACACCCGTTTCAACAATAGCAACAAGCACCTTCATTATTATTCAAGATTCAACCTTAGGAACATGATCAATGCTCTTACCTCGGGGAAGAAAGTTCTCAGAGCAAAATGTTTGTAGTCAAGGAAGGGAACAGTTCCAAAACTATCAACCACATCCAATTTATCCATCTGCAGCTCAGCAAAGCCTGCAAAACAGAATCCCAAGAGCAATATTTTAACTCAGCAAACAGTGGATAAAATCTTGTGCTGCTTTGTCTAATGCGAAGTCTGACCTTGGTTTTCATTAGAGAAGAAACAATAGATAATTACTTGGTTGGCTGCAGAGAGGAGCTGAAATAAGACACAAAGTCAGGCCCAGACCCTGCTGTTCAGTTGTCTTTTATTACACAAACACTTCTCATCACCATGGCCGCCTCCATTTAAGGGTAAAAAACAACAACAACCCAAAAACGACAATACAAAAAGGCTTGTTTTTCTAGAATGAAATTTCGGAGCCTACCGTCTCGGATCTCCTTCCGGAGCTCGCTCTCCAGCAGCTCCAGCTGTTGGCTCTGCTTGCGACTCAGCTCTTTCGACTTGTGTCTGGTCACCCCCACGGCCACTGCTGACAGACAGACCCAGCATCAGATTGACATGTTAACTTAGAAAAACAAAAAGAAAAATGAAACTCACCCTTCATTGGGTGACTCAGTTCTTATAGAGAGAGACAGAGACAGTGTAGCACCTAAGAGGGGGAATTTATAAAAAGAAACGCCCCTGTGATGGGGCGCTTGAAGAAGAGGGTGCCAAAATGCAACAGAAAACAAAACATCCACTCATCTTAAAAATGAAAACTAAATCAAATCACCTTTGCTTGTATTTTAGTGTTTGAGAAATAGAGGGGTGGGCAAAAGGAGGCTTACAGTGGTGAGTACGTGAAACACAGTTTATTCTTGTATTATTATTCATTAATTATTGTATTACTTTCCATACAAACAACTGTATTATTTTCCATACTTTTGCTCACCCCTGTGTAAGCCGCGTTGCTTCCCTGATCTTTTGAACCGTGATGACAAATGTCCTACTTACATTATTCCCCAGACTTCTTCTGGGATTTTGGACTCCCAGGACTTTGTCATCTCATGCTGCCATCCCACCCCGTCCAGCCCCCCCAGCCCTGCTTTTCCTAGCAGAACTGTATTTTACAAGTGAGATCTACACAACTATTAAAATGTTCCAAGGCTCATTCAAGCATGGCGATCCCACGGTGGTTGCCTACTGGCTGAATCTGGCTAACTGATGTGCTTTGTTTGGCCCACACAGCGTTTAAAAAAAATTTTGATGTACATTATTTTTAAATCAGATGATTCCCATTTTTTAAAATCTCTTGAAAATTTGAAAGATCTGGATCATTGGATCCCAGTTTCCCCACAGCATCAGTTTGCTGGAGCTGAGTAGCGGCTACCACTTGAGAGAGGGCATATGTTCAGTGGGTTTTTGCCACAGTCTCCACTAGGCTCTACTGCTCTGCTCAGGTCACTTAGCTCATCTATGTTCCTGGTCCCTGTAGCCATTTAGTTTGTGAGCTCTAGCTCTGAGCTGCTTTTCATTTTAAGTCTGTTTCCTCTTGTGTTCTTAGAAGAAAAAAAGAACTCTTCTCCACAACTAATGTGGCACTTCATACTTCCACTTAACATAGGCATTGCCTTTCTAAGGTTTTCTGTTAATAGTTGCTAATGTCTCCTTCCAGACACTCGCTCCCTCACACGTCCACTCATCCATCTCTGCATCCATTTACCTTGTGTTTATTGAGTATCTGTTCTGTTGCTAATAACTGTGCCGTCTCTGGGGCTAGAGAAGATGAGGTCAGGCCTGGTCCTTTGTCGTGGGTGGTCCTCAGCCCAGCGAGGGGAAGATTTATGTGTATGATTAACTGCCCTCAGGGAATGAACTCCTCTCACAGGGACCCTCTTTTGCCCTGTCGATGATCGTTTCAGGTATTTTTTAGGCTCTTCCCAAGTTGTCTACCCCTATGTCGTATCTGGAATCCAGAATTGGGCATGGTAGCTTACTAAAGTCCTATCCGGGGCTGGCCACGAGTAAGATGACTTATAAACTCTAAATGCTGGGCTCCATTCTGAGGACCAGCTGCAGTTGAGCCGCCGTAGGTGTTTCATTCTAAATTCACGTCCCGTTGCGGCCTACTAGGAACCCGTGATCCCACCTTTCCCCGCCCTTCGCTTTGTTTGTAGAGATTGCTTATGCTCTTTAAGGTAAAGTGGGCTTAAGCTGACACAATGCTTTTGGCTTCCTTGGTATCTGCAAAGTCCTTTAAACCCTCATCTCTCTTCCCAGGGTTCCACGGAGGCCCTGTCCTCGCAGCTGCAGGGAGTCTGCTCTTCAGTCCTCAATCACATCCTGAGTGAAAGCACTCACACACCTGGCCTCGCCTGCCGCCCACGAAACATCCCCCTGTGGCTTCCGTTGGCGATCACAGCCACGAAAAGCTCACTGCTCAGTGGCTGTGGCCCACTATCTCCCTTTAGACGCAGTGAGCAGTGCTGCCCAGAGTGCAGCCTGGGGAACAGTAATGCTCCTGGGAAGAACGTGTTCCGAGTTCAACTAGGGAATTACTGCATGCCCCGCCCTTCCTTGAAGATGTACAATGCATGCTACGGTTAAGACTGCCGACTCTGCAAAGTGGTCCAGGGAGAAACTGTACAGTGGGGCCTTGACTTACGAGTTTAATTCGTTCCCAGACCAAGCTCGTTAAGGACCTCGTTAACTCAAATTACTCTGTCATCTCAATGCAAAAAATCAGCCGAGAGACAGCTGGTATCTCAAAAAACTTGTTAGTCGGGACACTCATAAGTCAAGGCCCCACTGTATTTAATTTTGTTTCCTCCAGTCTCACTCCCATCTACTGGTAGCAAGGTCTTTTTTATCATGAAACTTCTATTAAAAGAAGAAAAACTTTCTAGAATAAAATAATGACAATTGACGAATATTCTTTTTTCCCCCTAAATGGTCTCAATGCTTTCTGTGAGTTACTTCTTTTAATCCTCTCCATATCACAATAAGGTAGGCCCTTTGACTGTAAGGCAACTGGAAACAGAGATGCTAAGGAGCTGACCTAAGGTCATACAGCCAATAAATGGCAGAGCAGGGAATGAACCCAGTGTTAAACCTGTTCGGTTTGCTGCCTGCACAGCACAGATAGAAGCAAGATGAAGTGGAGAGAGAAGCAATATCCAGACACGGTGTTTCACTGTAGACCACCGTGTGATCTTTGCAAGTTCGGCTTATGCAGCTCACTGGGGATCTGTGGTTTCTTTCTATATTTGCGGCTCAACTTTATTTCTCCAGGGACGTTTAGAAACATTAAGGAAAAAAACAGTGGAGCAATATAAGTGGCCTGTGGCTGTAGAGAAACTTGGTTTGTTTCATTACCTTTCAGCCAACTGGGATCTTTGGTTACAAGCAAAGGTTATTTGATTTAGTTTTCATTTTTAAGATGAGTGGATGTTTTGTTTTCTGTTGCATTTTGGCATCCTCTTCTTTAGAGCGCCCCATCACAGGGGGTTTTCTTTTTATAAATTCCCCCTCTTAGATGCTACACAGTCTCTGTCTCTCTCTACAAGAACTGTAAAGCACCCTAAACATGAAACCCTCAACATGAAGCTGTTATTCCCGTCCCGAAGTGTGATTTGGGTTTTCGTGCATTAATAGTAAACTGAAGCAAACAGCCCCTGGAAGCTGAAGCCGGCCTGGAGAGAGGCCCCAGGGAATAATTTTTCTGACAAAATTAAACGGGCACTTACCAAAGATGACCATGACGAGCAAGATGGGAAGGCCAATCAGAAAGTACAGAGGGGAAGCAACTGATTCCTTCTCGACATCGAACTCCAAGTTTCCCAGTTTGACCTAATGGAACAAGGAGAGTCGTCAGACCCAATGGAATTTGGTACCAATTTTCTCCCCCCACGTGGTTTCCCCCAAGATACAGAAAGAGATGGAAGCTAAGTGAGATATCTGAGTTCAAGTCCCATTCTGGAACAGATTAGCTCTGTGACCTTGAGCCAATGGAGAACATTCTCTGTGCCTTGGTTTCTAGATATATCATTTGAGGTGTCCTAGGTTAGACCTGGAGATTTGAGATCTGCAGATACCAAGGAAGCCAAAAGCATCGTGTCAACTAAGCCCACTCTACCTTAAGGAGCATAAACAATCTCTACAAACAAAGTGAAGGGCGGGCGAGGTGAGATCACAGGTCCTTTTTGCGCTGGGGGTTTAAAGAGGTGAAACCTTGAAGGTGAGAAGCCCCTTACCCTTTGACCAAGGAAACAACAGACTTTCATCTATTCCACATCTTTCATTTTCTGGGCAGGCCTATTTTAAATGAAGCAAAACCCAGTTTGGCAATTCTTCCTAGATGATCCCTGAGGGCTTTTACCAATTTTAGTTTTTGGTTATAAAAATTCTATACAACTTGTAGAGGGAAAAACTCACTATCAAGGCTTAGTTTTGCATTAACACACACACACACACACACACACACACACACACACACACACACACGTATTCAGGCACATTTCCACCCCTGGAGCCAGGGCAGCCCCTCTGGAAGCATCTGAGCAAAGTGCCAGAGCACAGATTCTGGACCCCAAAAGAGAGCCCAGGTTCTAAGACCCAGCCTTGCCCCCTGCTCTCCTTACCAGCTGCAGGAGCGTGAGATAGTTATCAACCATCCCATCCTCACGTTCTTCGTCTTTAAACTATAGCATCGTCATGACTACCTGTGCTCTATAATTTAAGTAAGTCAGCTCATGGCACTCCTGCTTAAAGCCCTTTAGTGTCAGCTCTCTTGGCTCCCACCATTCACTCTCCAGCTCCCTCAGAACATTCCCCTTGCTCCCTCCACTCTAGCCCCACTGGCCTTCTTGTTCCTCCTCAAATGTACCAGGCAGGCTTCCAACTGAGGGCCTTTTGCAACCTCTAGCTCCCTTCATCTTGCTCACTCTACTGCAGGTAGCCCACGGCTCATTCCTCTCCTCCTTGAGCTCCTTACTCAAATGGCATCTTTATAGGGAGAACTTTTCTTCCCACCATCAAGAACTGAAGGCACTGCCCTTATGTTTCTAGTCCCCTCCCTGCTTCATCTTTCTCCATAATTACCAGCATCTAACACTTTTTAAAAAATATTTTAAATTGAGGAAGGAGGGAAGAAGAAGGAGGAGGAGGAGGAGGAGGAGGAGGAGGAAAGAAGAGAATCAAACCCACAACCCAGGTATGTGCCCTGACCTTTTGGTGTACAGGACGACACTCAACCACCCGGCCAGGCCATCTAACACAATTTTCTTTTCTTTGCTCTGTATCTCTTTAGGTAACCTCCATAAAGGAGAGTGCTTTTGTCTCGTCTCCTCTGCTGTCCCCAGCACAGTGTGGCACTCAGGAACTATTTCATGAATAATGGAGAATGCTAGCATTTGCTCTTCTCAGCTAACTGGACATAGGGGAGCACTAGTGAGTTTAGCAGTTGTTATTGATTTGATGATGATTATTACCATCGTTACCATCCAACAGATGACAAAGGGAGGCCCGGCAAAGCTAGGTGACTCATCTAAGGCCACACAGCTATTAGCTGGTGCAGCTGGGACATGAACATATTTTTGTTTTGCCTTCCAGTCTGAAGTTCTTTTTTTCCTGTCCTTTATCCAATTATTTATGACTATAGGTCATAAAGCATTTTTTTCCTGTTATAGACTGTGCAGAGCCTCATATGGCATAAACACTATAAAGGGAGACTTCTAATATGTTTCTCTTCCCCATGGCCTCACATCTTTATTGGGGGACATAAATATATCAGGGACGGGGCCCTCAAACATGGCTGGGAAAAGATTAATCACAGCGAGTATGACTTCATGGTGGAGGAAGCAGCCACCACCCAGAGAGGATCTGGCCTCCATGAGACCTGAATGCTCCTCTGAGTGGGCTAGAGAGGCCCCCACTCTGGGGTTCTGCTGAGACTGTCATCTCTGCATTTGGGAAAAGAATGACAGCTCATCCGTCAAGGGGTGTGGAGATTCTGTTTGCAGATGCTACAGTATCAACGTATGGCTAGAACAAAAGCTATCAAGACTCATTAGCAGTGTAGACAATGGTGTGTTCACCGCTCCGACATTCAAATAGGCACGGGGAAGAGTTCTGGCAGCTATTTCGGAGGGACTATGCCGGGGCTTGCAATACCAACTTTGTTCATCTTCTATTTAAAGTGAAGATCTGAAGAATCAAGAAAGATTCCATTCTGGTTCAGCCAAGGAGTTCCCCCAAATAAGGCAGCATGCAGGGCGGTCAGGTGACCTACGTGAACTTTCTTGGACGAGGAGGCAATGCTGCTTGCAGCTCTGATGCCTTTAATTTTGCAGAGGATGGTGGTGAGATCTTGATTTCGAGTAATGTTTTCAAAGCTGCAATTTAACTGCTTATTTTCCCCATGGAAGAGAGTAATTTCAATGTCTTTCTTGGAAATGTTGAAGTTGTCATTTTCTTTCTGTGAAGAACAAAGCGAAGATGAAGAAATCAGGGTGCATGTGGAAACTCACAAACACAGCACACCTTTCTAGTTGAGGGGGGCACAGCCCACACGGAACAAGAGAAACATACCAGAATTTTTACTTCCAATTCTGTGTCCACCTCGGGGTCAACCCGATACCCTGTAAACCTGGGGTCCTCGAGGTACTGCAAGCTTCCACAATCCAAGTAGGTCTCCTGAACTTTCAGCTTCACAGTCACATTTGTACGCACTTTTGAACTCTTTAAACTGGGTGCTAAGAAACTGCAGTAAGTCGCCACGCACTGTTCAGAGACCTGAGGGAGAAGCAAAGGGCATTTCACAACGTCGTCAATGGGTCCCAGCTCTGGGATTTAAGAACCAAGTGACCCAGGCAACTGAACTTCTTTGCTTGTTTTCTCATCTGCCAAATGGGACAGCAATACCACCTACCTTGCAGGGCTGAATTAACCCTACATCAAAGTAAGTGAGATGAGGGGTCATTAAGTTAAATGAGGGCTACGTTACATGAGATTATCCACACAAAAACGCTTAGAATAGTGCCTAGCTATTGTTATTATTAATATTGATGACAATGAAAGCAGCCAGGGGATGCTGTGGGAAAAAACTGGTGCGCAGAGAGAAGTAGGCTTGAGAAAGCAGAAGACTTGGCACCAGTGGGCCTGTGTGTCCTTTGCTTGGGTCCTGGGAAACCCCCGGAAAGAGGACAGGAACCCCCATGAGGCCCAAGCTGGCTGAGCCATGTCGGGAACCTCCTGCAGCTCCAGCAGAAACCACTAACCACAGGGAAGAAAGGCTCTGCAGGCCCAACAGAAAATAGGGGAACACAAGCTACAGGGACAATGCATTCCCCTGGGAAGAAGAGCATGAAGCTGGAAACAATGCAGAACGGGTGCCCCACTTCACAGGTTTATGTATAAAAACTAACACATAAATATTGGCATTTTCAGGCGCAGAGAGAGGGGCAGAGGAAGCTGCTGGGAAAGAGAGGCTGACGAATGTTTTACAGAAGAGCAATAAGATGTGTGGAAAGGAATTAGTCAGGTGGGGTGGGGGGGCGGTTTCCTCTTCTTATTTACTCTCTAATACTGGCATATACCAAGGAGGCAGGAAGAGGCCAGAGGTGGGAAAATCTGATGCAAAGGGCTGAGATGCGGACAAGCAAAACCTCCTTCTCCCTTCACACCTTTCCAACGCGGGCTCCGGCTCACATTCTGGCGCAGCGGTAAAAACCACCGACCTGCTGCCCTGCCTACGCAGCAGCTGCAACCCCAGCAGGCCGGCTTCCTATTAGAGGTGTCTTCTAGGAAGATGATCGGTGATGGGGCCACCCTAACCTCATTATCCTCAACTCTCTCAATTTCCATACCAGTTATCAGCTGCCACTATCGAAAATGCTTTTTTTTTTAGTTTCCAAGCAACTGCTTGGCCAACCTCACTGGCCATCTTATTTGCTTTCACTCCTAAAATGGAGCTACTCTGCAAGGTTCCACCCCAGGTGCTCTTCTCTGCTTCTTCCGCGCGCTCACTCCCATGATGCTGTGCCCATTCCCCCTCTCACGGCAGCTTTGCGAAGAGGACAACCATCTCCAGCTCCTCACTCGGCCCGGCGGTCCAGACTTGCCCCCTTGAGAACAGCCCAATGGACAGCGGAGTCACCGGACCTGGTCACGTCTCAAACACACCTGCACTTGGCATGCGCACTCTCATCGGTCTCCTGGCCTTTTGCCCGTCACTGCCTCTCCCACGCACCATTGCCAATCATAAAGGCACCTATACTCACGCCACTCCCTGCTCAACGACCTCCAATTCTCCCCCTGCCTCAAGAATTGAGGGCAAAATCTGTCTGACAGCGAGGCAGCTCTCCAGCCAGCCCCCTCGCTCATTCCCAACCCGCCCTCTGGGTGCCAGCTGACACATTCCCACCACAGGCCTGGGAGTGACCTGTCCTCGTCCTCTGCACCTGAACTGGCCTTCCCGTCCCCACCTATCCAGTCCTACCCAGCCTGCTCCACTCGCAGACATTCTTAACCCCTCCCCACTTAATCCCCCTCACGTGGAAACACATAGCCCTCTTGGACTTATGGGGTTTCTGAGCGGGTCGGGAAGCAGAGGCCTAGAATTTGAGGACACCCCATGCTTTCAATGTCAATGCCAGTGGGGATCGGCTATTTCCCTCCATGAAGGCAACGTGACCATCTTATTTATTTTTTCCCCTGCAACCATCAAAATGTTTTGCCCACAGTAGATGCACAATTAGTTCTACTTGATCTAGGAACAGTGCTGGGAGGGAGAGCAAGTCCACTCACACATTCAGGCCATGCCTCTGGTCAGAGGGTCAACCTATGCAAACAACTCAATGGGATGTGATCACATCATGGGGACATGGTCTGGAATCAGATACAACGTGAGGCTTGGAACTGGCTCTGAAGTACGTCAGCAGGCGGTCATGTGTGTGACAGGCCGTAAGGATGACTTAGGAAGGCCTCCTGGAGCCTGAACCCACACTGGGGCCAGGCTTGTGAGCGCTCACGTGGCCAGGAAGTGGTCAGGCTGGGCCCCAGCGAGGCTGCAGCTGTTACATTTCATTAAAGCGGGACAAAAAGGCAAGAGAGGGTGAGGAGAGCATGCGGGAGGAGTTTAGACCTGCACTCAGAAACCCCAACCTGTATCTGAAACCCATCATTTCTTGTGATGAGGCCCATGTGTGATTTCTGTTGGTGTAAGAACTGAGTGAAGGGTAGACACCAGACCGCTGTGTGGAGAGATGAAAGGCAAGAGGAAGCGAGGTCAGAAGGAAGGGACCAGGTCAGGTCAAAGAGACAATGGCAAGAGAAGAAGCCTGTGATATGACCTCTGGGACTTTAGAGGTCACTGACCCGCTGAACCACAGCTCTCGGTGCGATGGAACACCCCCTGCTCGCCACAGGAATGCCATTTTTCTTTACATCACGCCTTCACCACTCACACAGCGTTTTCACACGTATCACACAGCGTTTTCACACGTATCATAAACATTGCCTCATTAGTGACTCGCCACAAATCATACACGGGGGAAATGGCAGGTCCTGTCTGAGCCTCAGCTTGAAATACTCAACACAGGTATAAGGTCCTATTATTTCCGTTATAGCACAGATGGTATATATATAATGATGGTATATATATAATGTCACAAGGCACAGAAATAAACCATATACCCCAACATATTTTGGTGTTATAACAAAATCATCCTTGAAAATAACTATTACAAAGCAGCCGAAGACTTACGTTTATGTTTCCTTTTAACTCATGTGAAATGATTAAGTTGTCAATTACATCAAAATTTCTGCCCATGATGGTTATATTTTGACCACCACTGCAAGAAACAAAGCAACAATAAGAGTTTCATAGTAAACAGGCCTTTGCGTTTGTGAACAAAGCTACCAATTTATTCACACTTACCATGAAACTCAGGTTTGAGAGCAAATTAACAAATCTTAATTTCAAATGCAGGACACATTTTAGAAGTCTTTTTAATGATACTGGCTACAAAATCATAATTTTTAAGATACATACATATAAAAAATCATGTCAGATCCTATTATAATTTGTAGGAAATGCCCAAATCCTTTCATGGAATTTTGAGTTTGTTGTGTCATGTTGCCACATATAATCAGATCATCAGCTGTATCTTGCAAAGGTTTCACTGAACAGAATGTTGTTTGATTGCTGCTTAATCTATATGAAGATTCTTCAGTCTAACAATTTTCAAAATCAAACTCCCTACCTACCAATTATATTTATTTAGGGAGACAGAAAACACTTTGGACAAGGTAAAATTATAAGTGACAGCAAACCATATAAATAACAGCTACATTCTATCTCTCCAAAACCAAGCCTAATGAGTTCATATATTCTTAGCACATAATCGCATATAAGCAAAGTGGTCATTAGATGTGAAATAAACAGCTGTTCACAGCTCTGGCTGCCCTCACACCCTCGTTCATGTAGGTCACTAGACACTCATTCCAGGGGACAGGAGCCTGGTATGTCAGCTGGGCCCATGACGACAAGACCAGGACGTGGGCACGAGCAGGCTAATTTGTGTAGGGCAGAAGAAAGACATCGAGCCCTGAACCTTCCTGCCACAAGGAGAAAGGGCCCAGCTGGCCTCATGCCAGCCTGTCGCCATTACTAGAAACCAAGCCAAGCGTGGCCCATGGCCGGACTGCAGAGCCGTGTTCTTGCCCAGGAGTCATCGAGAGACACAGGCTCAGAATGTCATAGGTGACTGGACAGCAAGAAGCCTCTTATTTTATGGCAAAGCAGAACACTGGTGTCTTAGAGCACAGCACCCCGGGAGCCTGGGCAAGTCATTTGAACACTCCATGCCTCAGTTTCTTCATCTGCAAAAGGGGCCACTCAGAGTAGAGCCTTTCCGCCTGTGAGCATTAACTGAGTCAATAGCTATTCCACAGCAGGCATGTGGGGAGTGCCGCGTCAATGTGCGCTTTTATTCATAGGAAGGAATTAGACCCAGAGCAGGGACTGTCATGCTTGGGCCTTGGTTTAGAAATGTCAGTTTTCCTCATGCCACTGTTATGGGTGGAACTACTGAAGTCCTAATTCCTAGTACCTCAGAATGTGACTACTTTTGGAGACAGGGTCTTTAAATAGGTCATTAAGGTTAAAGGAGGCCATTGGGGTAGGTCCAAATCCAGTATGACTAGTGTTCTTATAAAAAGAGGAGGTTAGGACACAGACAGGCACAGGGGGAGACCATGTATGGACACAGGGAGGAGAAGGCCATCTATGAGCCACGGAGAGAGGCCTCAGAAGAAACCCACCCCGACAGCACCTTGATCTTGGACAACCAGCCTCCAGAAGTTTGATGACATAAATATCTGTCATTGAAGCCGCCCAGTTTGAGGTACTTTGCTATGGAAGCCCTAGCAGCCGAGTGTGTCCACCTCTTGCTTAATCTTAAATAAGAATATTCAAAGTGATTTTTTTCTTTTTTCTTTTTAAAGCTGCATCTGTAGTTTCACCTAGACAGTACTTTGAAAATAAGCTTCATGCTGTGTTAGGTGAAGAAACTATTTTAGGGTTATTTTTCAAAATCTGAATGTGAATTTAAATTCAACTAGGGAAATAATCTTTTTCTTTGGACTCATCTGGAAAGGTTTATTTCAGAATATCCATCTCTCATTTAGGGGAAAATCCTTGAAATTAGATACTGCTTTTGATTTAGACAGCTCCCAATACTTCCTCCAATTATTCAAAACAGCTTATTCTAAAGGTTTTAAAACAAAGGATGTAAGAAGGAAAAAGCTTTGTGTCATGGTAAAAGTGAGACAGAGTGAAGAGGGTTACGTGACTGTAGCAGGTGATTCCTATATGACATTGAGTGAAACTCATGAAGTTCATGCACCTGACCTTTTTAACCACAACGAGAGAAAAATCTGACTCTAGAAAATACCTGGTCCAGGTGGTAGCAGGATAGATGAGGGAACAGCGCGGCAGAGCAATGTAAGACAAGGACCCCACGGAAGAACAGTTCCCGCCGTCGAACTGGATACACACATCCTTCATCTCTTTCCGGCTTGATGGCAGGGAGAATTTCATGTGGGTGTCATTTAGCACGTGGCTCACCCGTACTCTAGGAAGGGGTAGAAACAGAACTCATATGAAACAGACAGCCCAGCTGCTTACCAACAACAGTTCATGACCAGCAGACAACTGCTGACTAATCAGGGCCACTTGTCCTGTTGGGGTATTATCCCTGTCAGGGTTCCTCTTTCTTTTGTGAATGTTTTTGTTTTGTGGATCCTCACCTGAGGATATTTTTTTCCATTGCTTTTTCAGAGACAGTGGAAAGGATGGAAGTGGGGGGTGGGGGGAGGCAGAGGGAGAGATAGAGAGACAGAGAGAGAGAGAGGGAGAGAGAAACACCAATGTGAGAGAGACACATTGATTGGTTGCCTCCTGCATATGCCTCGACAGTGGGGGCGAGGGGAGGGAAGGGAGCAAACCCGAAACTAAGTTATGTGCCCTTGACCAGGAATTGAACCTGCAGCCCTTTGGTGCACAGGCTGACACTTTAACCACTGAGCAACGCTGGCCAGGGCTCTTTGTTCATTTTTATGTTTCTATTTGCATTTTTCTTGGAAGTGAGGAAAGAAGCAGCCAATAGAAAGTGGAACATGGACTGGGTATTAAGTTATATTAAGGAATTACTGTTAATTTTGTTGAGTACAATCATGGCACTATCCTTATCTGTTAGAGATACATACTGAAGTATTTATGAGTGAAAGGATATGGTGTCTGGGATATGTTTCGAAAAACTCTGACTGCAATTCTTCCTTTCCCTCCAAAAAATGTGGAGGAGATGGATGAAGCAAGATTGGCAAATATTGGTAAGTTCTGAAGCTGGTGGATGGGTACAGAGAAGTTCATACACTCTTCTCTCTTGTGTATGTTTGGAAATGTCCATAATGAAAAGCTTAAAAAAAAAGAGAAGTCCCAGTTGAGCTCCGGGAGGGTAGAACCCAACCCCGGGCAGAGAGGGAAATTCTGCTGTACGAAAAGCACTGAGCCCAGGACTGAAGTCCACGCGGAGGCCCAGGGGCGCAGAATCCATCAGCCATCGGAGCCAAGCTGCCTAGCAACTTGCTCCAGACTGGAAATGAGCTGGGACTCCCCTGGTGCGCCTGACACCTGCAGGGTGTGCCCTTGCCACCCTTCAGGAGTCAACGCAGAGCCTTCTACAACATGCCCCTGGAACCTGCAGCCTCCTCGGTGCATCGTGTCTGCAGTAGGCATCTAAGGCACTATCATTAGGACTGGGTTGTGTCTGGACAGTACTCAGTGTAATTACGCTACAGGAGAATTTATTATTACAAAGGACATGTGCATGATAATTAACTTTCACACACAGACCCTTTAAGTTGTAATAATAGATTCAAACAGTAAGGCAAAATCAAAAAGCACACGGGTCAGTTTGTACTTACGCCTCCTCAGATTTTCATTCTAGCTCTTGGAAACTCTTCACAAAATAACTGGTAATTGAAATTCAAACTTGTTTATAAATTTTAGAAGGAAAGAGGTGGAAATGTGGGTCATTCCACTACCATTCTCCTATTTTTCTCTTTTAGAGTAATTAGGCTTTAAAAAATACTATATTGAAAGAGTTTGGGATTATAGCACGAATTCAGATGCAGGATTAACTGGGCATTATGTTTACTGCTCGTGAACTTGGGTTCACCACACAAATGTGGTTAGCGAAATGCTACATGCAGAAAGGTCTCTTACTCATTGAATTTAATAACTGCAGTATCTCAAGACACATTCGGAATTGAAATGAGAGCATAAAGAGTCCGGAACAGGGTGAAGCTCTGAAAACGACTTACTTCCCAGGGAACACACAGGTGTCTAACTTCAGATTTCGTTATACAAAATGACAGGCTTTTGCAATAAGGTGTTTAGCCAGGATAAATGGCACAAAAATACCTATGTCGTGCAGATACAGCCACTAACGTGAGCTGGATAATTCTGGTAAGTAGCAGAACAGAGGAAAGCCATCGGTGAGCAGCTTTCCCCAGAAGGTGACAGACATCCCAAATTTACTGCTACGAGGGGAAGGGGATGGCAGCTATATGTGGCAAATGAATTAAAACAGAAAATCAGTAAATAAGTGTGGCAGATTGAAATGCTGTACAAATCTGTTTTAGTAGTTAAAAACCAAAACACCACGCTTCAGCAGATTGCCGTCAATGCATTCCCATGACGGGGACAAGCTCAGTATTATACTTCATGTAGATGGCAACGTCTTATTTCAAATTAGCCCAGATTTATAAAAGCTAACAAGCACAAAACTCAAATTATCTATCATGCTATTATCACATATCTTTTTTTGGGGGGGTGGGGGGGGTAGCATTGGTACAACACTGTCAGTGAGACAGTGAAATGTTTTCTCTCAAAAGTTTCATTGAAAGGATGAATTAGGAGAAAAGAAGTCATAGAAATAATGATGTCAAGTGGTGCACTGACCAGTTATTTTTTGGCTTGGGGTATTTGTTTCTTCTTTTTTTAAAATACTAATTTACATTCTATTTAGTTATTATTTGGGCCTGAAATCAACCCAATAAAGAGAAGGCTATAAAGAATAAAATGGATCAGAAAATTTCTTTTAACTTTGGGCCATCTACTGAAGAGTTGCTATTATTTTCCCATCAAAATTGGAGGTACTCGCTCAGTTGGTATGGCTCAGTAGTTGAGCATTGACCCTGAACCAGGAGATCACGGTTCGATTCCGGGTCAGGGCACATGCCCAGGTTTTGGGCTCAATCCCAAGTAGGGGGCATACAGGAGGCAGCCAATCAATGATTCTCTCTCATCATTGATGTTTCTATCTCTCTCTCCCTCTCCCTTCCTCTCTGAAATCAATAAAAATACATTTAAAAATAATATGATGTACTTGACTGTTTTTTCTAAGTGGATCATCTTCAAAATGATATTTGATATTCAAAATACTTGGTTTTGTTTAATGAAAACAAATCAATACCGAAAATAGACAACATCCTGAAACTGTTGTGTACTGAGATTTTGGGGGGTAATGTGAGACAGATTCTTTCACAATTAACTTCAAATGTAGTGTATAAATGATTTTACTATTAAAAATATATTATATCAAATATTCAGAGTAATTGGTCCACTCTGGCACATGGAAATAATTTGACTACATAATGATTATATTTGGCATAAGTTTTAGCGTTTCACCACATTATTGAGAAAAATTACTAGTATTTGAACTCACACATCCTTATCACAAGTACTGGTTCCTTTCAGGATCATGACGATGTTATCAGACGCCCGCGTGAAGTTTGCTCCTGTGACTATCACGTTACTTTTCCCTAAGGTTGATATTTTCTGTGGCTCAATGGACTTAACAGAGAAGACCTATTGGAAATAAAAGATTAAAACACAAGATCAAAGCTAAGAAATGGCATTGCTCCAAAAAAAATCTGTTTATGCGCTGCAGTTCGAAGAAATCACTGGGAAATTACAACATTTTGCAAACACAAGCAGACAGTGTTTAATGAAATCAATGAATTCAAGGAAGAGCGCTGAAGATTCATGTCTCTCAACACGCGACAGCATGAGGTCAAACCAATTAGTCTTTGTCTCACAAGACAGTTGAAAATATAGTTGAAGAGCCTGACATTCTGTCTGAAGAGTGAAATAGCATGAGAGTCTCAAAAATGCTAGCTGCCTCCCAGCCCCTGGAGGCTCACAATGTAACAAAATGAAGAAAGAGACAAGGAGTCCACTGCTCATGGGCCAACGACAGACTCATCATTAGTTAGAATAAATGTCATTTTGGATAACTTTAATTCCCAAGGAAGCAGTTCCTGTTTTGTTTTGTTTTTTCAGATAGGCTATTTGAATCAAGGAGTATACTGTAGGGAGAAACCTGGTCAGTCACCTAATATCAAGTAGTTGGATGCCTAACCCAGGTGGCCAACCATTGCTTCTCCACAGTTTGCAGATGCCACCATTTCCTCCTTGGTACCCATTGCAAGCTTTATCAGGCCTTTCTTCATCAAGTAAGTTTCCCTTGGAAACCTGATACCTGACCCTATGTTATGCACCTTACTTCTTCATTTTCAATGTCTAATCAAATTCCCTTAAAAAAAAAGCCCTAGCTGGTTTGGCTCAGTGGATAGAGTGAAGGGTTCAATTTCGGGTTCCATCCCCATTAGGGGGCATGCAGAAGGCAGCCGACCAATGATTCTCTCTTACCATTGATGTTTCTCTCTCTACCTCTCCCTTCCTCTCTGAAATCAATAAAAATATATTAAAAAATAAATTTAAAAAAGACCTTTTTGATGGCAAGAATCATTTTCCTTTTCAAAGCTAAAACAATCCCGATTTCTTACTTTTCTCCTATAGATGCTGCCATCTATCATTGTGGTGCTTCTGTAGAGCATTACTGGCAAGTCTGTATTCTCCTATAAGTACCGCGCACTAACCGATGGTGCCACTGGAGTTCCTGTATTCTCCTATAATGTGGTGACTAAAACTGGACAGAAGGTTCTAAGATTCTGGCCAATATAAAGTACAACAGATCTTTAGCGTGAGTGACTCACACTCCTGATATCTGAAAACAAACTGTAGGTCCAGAAATGCATAATCATGTAGAATTTGGTCAAGGCCTAAACACCGAGTGTATCCACTTGGAGGATGAAGTTTAGGAGGAAGGCTTTCCTTTGCTGGGAAAGGTTCAGTCACATCCAATACCTGCCTATCATCTGCTTCTTGAAGCAGCGTAGTATTCTCGGCTCCTTTGTGTGTGTGACACTCACCAGGATGGCCTTGCTGGGCTGCTGGGCCTGCCCATCCCACTGAAAGGGGTGCTTGATCATTCTGCCACTTGGCAAACACAGGTGCTATATGGTAGAGCCATCACCATCACTCATCATCACTATGGATTGGTTTTTCCGATTGAGGTAAATCCATCGTTAATGTCATTACAGCAATGATGTAATGTGACAGAGAATTGATTTCAGCGGCAGAATTTATTTTAATCGCCTGGTAAAGGACTTTAGCCCCATATTTATAGAATCATGGGGGGCCTGAAAGGGTCACTTTAATTATTCTGTTATACTTGAGTGCATTTTATGGGGGAAATTATCTGCAAGAGTGGTCCTTGGAATGGAGGGATTAGCAGAGACTTAAAGATAAATCCCTTGCAAATGTCAAGTGTGTGTTGTATAGCAAAAGGCTTACTCTTTGCTCTGACATTGTGACAGCTAAGTGAAGAAGTATTTACCAAACACCTACAGCGTCCCTAGAATAGCGCTAGGTACTGTGGGGGCACATAATGTGTGTACTAGGTCAGGAGCTGGCAAACTACTGGATTTGTCTGTAGCAGCCAAGTCCACCCTATGGCTTGTTTCTTTATGGCCCATGAAAATTTGTCAAAAAAGAAATAGTAATAATACATGACATGTGACAATACATGAAATTGAAATTTCAGTGTCCATAAAGAAACTGTTTTTGGAACATAGGCACACCTACTCATTTGTGCACTTTCTTTTTGCCTGTTTTTCCATTGGTTTTTAGAAAGTGGAAGGCAGGGAGGGAGGGGGAGGAAGAGAGAGAGAGAGAGAGACATATTGGTTGCCTACCACACAGGGGCTAGGATCAAACTTGCAACCCAGGTATGTGCCTTTGACTGGTAATTGAACTCACAATCTTTCGGGCTGGCACTCTAACCACCGAATCACACTGGCCAGGGCATCTGTGGCTACTTTCACACCACAGTGGCAGATTTTAAGTGTTACAATAGAGACCTCATAGCTCACAAAGCCTAAAATATTTATTGTCTGGCTCTTTGTAGAAGTTTGCTGACTCTTACACTAGAGGAGTCCACTGTCTTCCTAGGGGGTCAAGAGAAACCGTGCATTTGTTTTGTTTTATGTGAACATCAATGTAGACTCATATTTACATCCAAGCCGAATACGATTCCCAGGTCCTTTCTGCTTCTTATATTTATACTGTTGATATCTATTCAAGCAAATGCTACTTCTCTACTCTGAGTAGAGGGTCAAAAGAGCCTTATAACGAATGTACACGAGGTTTTGGAGGGGTTTATATTTTGTTGCTTAAATGGCTCTACAAACACTATCAGAGGACCAGCCATGTCGCCTTCTTAACTTTTATTTCCCCCCACCCCCCGCCCCGAGGAGAGACAGCCCTGCCACTTCAAAAGGATTTCATTTGAAAACCTTATTGTTTAGAGAAGTTTCCACTGGCGTCTAGGATGGAATCCAGCTCTGGACTATCTCATGGAAGCAGATGCCTCCACTCTGCTTTCAACGAGGGTCAGATTAGTTGTCCTTTGTTTGCTTGGAGAACCTCTCCTAATCTTAATAAGTGAGTCAAAGAGCTACCAAGAGGACCTCATTAAATCAACGGTGCAGGTACACACACACACACACACACACACACACACACACATTGGGTAGCTACAGGGCTGTGCTATACGACTGCAACAATTCTTAGAAATGTAACATTTTCTATTTTTACTGATAAAGATTTTTAAAATCCAGTACAGACTGAAGGCAAGGAATGATCTCCCCACAACTGTTCCACACACTTACTATTTTAGGTTGATTTTTGTATTTTAATCAAGAGTTAATTCACCATCTGACATGAAGTGGTGGGCCCCACAAGCTTATACATAGAAGGGCTTGGGTAACTTAAAAACGTAATCTAGCTTGAAACAAAGACAGTTTCTACAGGGATATTCTTCCCCATCCTCTGTCCAAGGATTTCCACATATCAAATCAAAGCACCACAGAGTGTAACCCTCACAGCCCTGTGGCGTCCAGCAATTAACCGCAGAGTAGCCTACTCCCTGTCAGTTACATTTGAAAGACTTAAGAGTCATTTTTAAATGGTTGCCCAACTTTAAATTATGTAATAAAATAGTATGAGCTCCGGTTGCTTAAATCACTCCACTCCCTGTTTTGTACAAGAAAGCACGTCAGAAACGGGTTAACTAGGCGATTACAGAATACCCAAGTAGTTGTATTTTTTTTAAAAACAAAGTCGTTTAAGTTATTGGAAATAGAACACCTCTAAGAAATAGTCATCTCTGAAAAGGTCTAAGAGGATTACTCCTGACAGAAAGAGTACCTTTTGTGAAGTCTGACGTCAACACAATTCAAACTGCCATGACATTAATGGAGAGGACACTGCTAGGATTGAAAAGAATATTGGAAAGAGGTACATGAGGAAGGCTCAGTTTATTAAGGCCAACGTGTTCTCTATTAATCTGTTAAAAAGAATCTGAATATAGCAAAGCTCTCTGTGGGCCTGGACCTGAATCAACATTCAGTAAAATGTCTCTCAGATTTTCACTCATGAAATTAGTTGAAACAGGACTGGATGAAAGTCACGTGGATTCAAACCCAGCTGGAAATCTGAAACCAAAGGGCCTTAGAGAGATGAAAGGTAGCATAACTAATTAAAGGAAAGCCTCCTGTAGGGCTCTACAGGGGTGAGGATTTGGTTCAGAATTATTTAACGTCTTTATTAATGACTGAGCAGGGCAGAAGTAATATATTAATGAAATGTACAGATTGAGAAGAGTGGCAACCAGCAGTGGAGATGGTAAAGTGTAAAAGGAGGTGAGAGATGGAAAGAAAATACAATCCCATCAAAGAAAAATTAGAGAACTAAATGGATCAAAAAGGTTATCCATTTGCTGCTTGGGCCCCTGGTACAGACCTCAGAAACTTGAGATGTAACTTCCAGTTGGTCCCGGGAACGAGCAAGAGCTAGAATGCCGACTGAGGTAGACCTGCGACCTCCAGGGACAAGGTGATGGACCACAGCCCCGTGCTGAGAGATCAAGGCTCACTTCTCTGACCGGGGGACTCTAAGGTGAGGCTGCCATGGCCCAGGGTGGGGCTGCCAAGGCCACTCCATAAAGCTGCTACCCTTTGTCACTGAGCCTTCCTGGTGTGGCACCTCAGAACCGGACTGGCTGATTGAACTGGCCGACCAGGACTCCATGACCAGGGAGGGCAGCTCTCCCTCTCCAGCAGGGACCCCGGGTTGCGGATTGAACCCAGCCACTCAGGATCCACCCTTCTGCTGGGTTTCACTTTGGCAGGAGACTCTTGCTGCTCCACTCTCCTAAGGGCCTCAGTTTCCCTCCTGTGTTAGAGAAGATGCCGGCTTTGCCTGGGTCTGACTCCATCACTCTGACACCCAACCTACCCGTCTCCTCTGGAGGCTCGATACTAACACGCTCCCCTCACAGCCTGCCCAGGCTGGAGGTCTTTGTCCCACCCGTCTGCGGCACAGATGGGGCAGGCTTGGCAGCCAAGTGCCAAGAGAAGCTAGTATTAGCTTCCTCCCTTCCAGGTTGATTTTTATCATCAATACCACTTGGTTTACTATTTGTTTATTTTCATCTAAGGTCATACAATGTAGAGTAGTGGCCAAAACTGTGGGCTCTGCCATTAGACTGCCTTGGTTCAAGTCTCTTGCCTGTCGTTTACTTCCTGCTCACCCTCTGTAAAATGTCCTGGTCTATAAAACGGGCAAAATTGGTCCATCGTGAGGCTGACATAAAGAGATACTCGGGGCTGCGGATACAGCATAGGTTCCACTGGCATCAGCTATCACTACTCAGTGCGTTCTGGCATTCCTGCTTCCATCCTTTTCTCTTATGCACATTCACCTGTTGCCTGAAATGAATCTTACTTCCTCCAAAATATCGCAAGTTTTACAACGCAAGCTCCATGAGGGTGCACACTTTGCCTGCCTGTCTAGCACAAAGTATGTGTTCAATAAACATATTTTGAACGCAAGAGTGAATGAATGAACAATTGGCAGTGAATCCCACAGCACCCAGTACAGTGGTGAGCCCACAGGAGCTACTCAACAAGGTACATATTAAAGTTAATTTCACTTTCAAAGGCAAGGTCCTTATCGCCTATGAGAAATTAAAATGCATATTCAAAAGTGATGGAGGAAGAGAAAGAAAGGAATAGTTTGAATGTAAATTCCTCTAGAGGAGACATGGCTGTGTATGGTTTATTTCTGCACTTTGGCGATAAGCCTACCATCAAGAACAACAAATATTAGAACAACATCATTATCACAGATCTTCACAACCTCCCTTGAGAACAGGAAAGAGAGCAGCCACTCTTCTCTCAGCAGGCAGAGGCACTAGATAGAAGATTGTTAAGAAAAGGAAGGAAAAGAGGGTGGGGCAGGGTGACAGGGCCAACCGTCACTGAAAGTACTTCTCAGCCAAAGGTCAGACACTGGGTTTTGAGTCCGTTTCCCTATGTTGGCGATGCTTTTCCTTAACCCAGTCCCTGGCAAATGACAGCACTTATCCTTAGGTCAGAGTACAGGGTTGGGTCATAGGTCATGAATCTGTGCAAGGGCAACAGGCCCAGACTGGGATTGAACCAGAAACCCTATCTCCTAAGGATCATGTCCTGGGATGAGAAAATTCATATGCTAAAAAAAAAAAAAAAGATCTCATGAATCAGCACTATGGGCATATAAGACTAAAATAACTCTCAGGAGCATTCTAATGCCTTTGAGGAACAGAGTGAAACCTCCTGGGTCTGGCTGGAAGGCCCTGTAGATGCAGGCTCCAGGGGCATTCCAAACCCATGTCCCATATTTTCCTGCAACCTTCTGCTCCAGCCAAATTGAATCACTTGGGTTTTCCTAGAAGGGGTACCCCAGAATTTTCTGGCACCCCCACTATGCCTTTGCTTATACTAGTCCCTCTGCTTAGAACACCCACTCCTTAGTCTCCATGCGTTTGGAGGCTTCTTGTCTCTCAAAGGTCAGCTGAAACGCCATCTCTGTCAATCAATCTACCCATCAATCAAAGACTTAATGAACCGCACCCATGAAGTGTTTTTCACTGCCAGGCACTGGGTTTACATAAACAGGGATGACTAAGATAAGGCCTGAGGCACAGAGAAACTCTCTGGGTTTGTATACTTTCTGGTACTTTCCCCATCCATGTTAACATTTCCTATCTTGTACTCTTACTTATGTACTCAAGTATGAGAGTCATGAGCCTGATGGCAAGAGAGGTCCCTGATTCATTCGTGTCCTCCTCATTGCATCCATGGAGCTCAGTAAAATGGCATCTAACAGGTGCTCCATAAATACCTGTAGGAAGAACAAACCCAAGCTCAGCATCATGAGCTTAAGACCGTGTCTGCAACAGACACGCCGCATGTCCCAGTGCCTGGCACCGTGCTGAGTGCTCAGTAGATAGGTGATGTGGGAGGATGCCTTGATGGAAAGCTCTCCATGGCTTTTCTGCTGGGAAGAGAGTGTTCAGGCCAACATGGGGACCCAAATCAGAAATCTGAATTTTCCCATTCCACACGATAGTGAAAGACAGCAGTGTTTCATGGAACATGAGAAATTCTTCCTGTGACAAATAACTCTGTTCTCTATCAACCAAAACTGAGATTCTGTGCTGAGTCATATATTTAAAGACAACACATTTCAGTATCAACTAACTGCCTCTCCCCAAACTAAGAAGCACCCATGGAGAAGCACTGATGATGGGTCTGGGCTTTGTTTATCTTCAGCCTCCTCCTGCTCTCTAGTGAGCCCAGTAATTTTAACCATACAGCATCAAAGGTCAACATATACAGGAAGACAGTACAAGAAACCAGGAGTCAGTGACTTTAGTTTTTCCCCTTTAAAATAAAAGAAATTTAAAAAGCCATTGCCTGGACATTACTCAACAATGAAAAGGACCAAACTATTGATACATAAAGGAACTCAGATAAATTTCCAGAGAATTACATTGAGTTAAAAATGCCTAGCCAAGAAGGGTACATCTGGGCGATTCCATTTATAATATGATAAAATCATAGAAACCGGGAACAGATCAGTGGTTGCCTGGGTCAGAGGTGGGGAGTGGGAGGTGGAGGGAAATGCATATGGCTGTATATGGGCAACACGGGGTGACAGGGCTGCTTTGTTGTCTTGATTGTTGTCACTGTCAATATCCTACCTGTGAGGTTGTGCTATAGTTTTGCAAGATGTTAGTTACTATTGGAGGAAACTGGGCAAAATATATATGAGATCTCTCTGTATTGTTTTCTTATAACTATATGTGAATCAACAATTATCTCCAAAAACAGTTGAATTTTTTTTCCAAAACGATCTTGAAAAAGAACAAAGTTGAAGGATTCACACTTTTTGGTTTTAAAACTGATCACAAAGTTACAGTAACCAAAACAGTGTGTTATGGTTATAAAGCTAGACATATAGACCAATGGATTATATCCATAAATAAATCCTCACATATTTAGTCAAATTATTTTCAACAGGGAGGCAAGATTATTCAGTGGGAAACGAACAGTCTTTTCAACAAATGGTGCTGGGAAAACTGGATATCCACCTGCAAAAGAATGGAGCTGGGCCCTTTCCTTATACCATATACAAAAATTAACTCAAAATGGACCAAAGCATTAAGTCTAAGAATTAAAACTATAAAACTCATAAAAGTAAATGTGGAGGAAAAGTGTAATAAAACTGGATTTGGCAATGATTTCTTGGGTACAATATCCAAAGCACAGGCAACAAGATAAAAATCTGTAAACTGGACTTTATCATTACATTAAAAAATTCTGTGCAAAAGACATAGTCAGAAGAATGAAAAGGCAATCTACAGAATGTGAAAAAATATTTGCAAATCACATACCTGGTCGGGGATTGATATCTGGAATATATAACAAACTCCTATAACAACAAAAAACACAAACAACATACCAAAACGATGGAAGCAACCCAAATGCCCATCAACAGATGAATGGAGAAACAAAATGGGGTCTATCCACACAATAGAATACTATTCAGTCTTTAGAAGGAAAGAAATTCTGAACATGCTACAATATGCATGAACTTTGAGGACACTATGTTAAGTGAAACAAGCCAGTCACAAGAAGACAAATCTTGTATGATCCCACTTTTATAAGGTACCTAGGGTAATCTATCTCAGAGACAGAAAGTAGAATGGTAGTTGCCAGGGTCCGAGTAGAAGGCAAAATGGGGAGTTATTGTTTAATGTGTATAGAGTTTCAGTTTTGCAAGATGAAATGTGTTCTGGCAATGGATGGTGGTGATGGTTACACAATAGTGTACACGTATAAAAGGATGGTAGAGATGGTAAATTTTATTCTATGTGTATTTCACCAAAATTTAAACAACGGAAACAACAAAGAAAAGTTTAATTTTTTAAAAAAAGTCACTGCCTCCTTGATCCCAGTTCCTGTAACTATGCCTTAGTTTTATAAATCAATGGGAAGAGAAAGGTCCCTCACTTAACAAGCCCATCAATTATTAAGACCTCAAAGACTTTTAAAGTCTGAAATATTGGCACACCAAGCTTTTGTAATGCTTTTAATTAACTTCATAATCCATTTTCATTCACATTCCCGTTGCCTGTTACTTAATTTACCTAAAGTTACTGTCAACTTTTCGGTAGTGATTAAAAATGTGCTACTTATTTATATTGGCACTTGACCTTAAAGAGCAGCAATTGGATAAATCAAAACCACAGATTAGTCTTGGAGCAGAAAACTGAGCCTTTAAAAAAAAAGTTGTTCTGTTTCCTCCTACTAGACCCCAAGGTTAATGAGAATAAGAACTTGCCCTTTTGTTTTTCACCACATAGTAGATGCTCAATTAACTTCTATCCACTGAAGGAAGTCAGCACTTCTCTGTTCTCGAAGCACAGCCCCAGTATCTGCCTGAAAATGCTTATATTGTCACCTCCTCTTTTCAAATATGTCTATTAGTTGATCTTGGTGAATAAGAGGAATTTCCAATGAAATTTCATGGAGAATAACCATTTTTGAGAAGTGGAGAGAAAGGTAGATACATTATATGGAAATAACTCTTTGTTTTGGAGTTATTAACTACTGGTTAGATTGTCTCTACAAAGTAAAGAAAAGCAATTGGAATGTGTTTAGTGTGTCTACTTTGCATGCTCTCCCTTGCACATAATCCCCAGAAATGCGATCATAATATGTGGTTCGAACTGAAATCCCCTCAGTGCTGTGTGTTTTACTTCCTCCTAACTCTCCCCAAGTGAGCCACAAAGTCACCTTTAAAATTTTACTCCTCCCAGAACAACATTTTTCACAGTTACAGAATTTTAATTTCTTTTATGTGAATGTGCAGTCTTTGATGTACTGAGCCAATTAAATGAAACTTGGTTTAAAACCAAAGGTAAAAAAGGGAATTTTGGTATAAAGTAAAAAAGGGAATTTTTAAAAAAGGAACCCAAAGTGGTAGTTGTTATGGTCACTTAAAGGGGGATTTTCCCATTATCAACAGAAAAACAGAGCCTGACCTGCCTGCCCTGGTTGGTTCTGTTCGTCTTATTCCCCTCGAACCCGCCTCCTCCTGCTGTCTTGGATGGTGCCGGCTTCTCAACAGCAACTTGACAAGGTTCCTGAAATGAAGCACATCCTTCAACATCCAAATAGGAGGGAAGTTCAGAGTTTAAAAGAAACACAAAGGACAGGCGGGGCGGTTACCAACATTTATTTTTGGTTAAACCTTGAAATACCAAAAATGTCACTTTACCTGGTTTCTGTTGTAATCAGAAGGGCTGCAGGCCGTGAAGGGGTGGATACACTTTCTCTCACTTTTACACCAAGCACAGCCAGTTCCAATACACGCTGGGCATCTGGCCATACAGAAAACCAACTTAATTCCTACATTTTTAGGAAAATCTTCATAGCCTAGAATTTCCCTCTGTGATGTGGCATGGGAGGATTTACGTAAAAGAAGAAGAAAAAATCCCTAGACAGACTGATGAACCCCAGGGGAGAGCGGAGAGGGCAGTCTTCTGGGGCTGGGGCCAGAGCACTGACTTGGTGGACCTGCTCTGGGGGTCTTTGACTGATTGACTGTCTTCACACCCACAGGAGGGTTACCATGGAAACCTGAAGCTGGGTCACCGGCTGCACAGGTAGATAACAGGAACCCACTGAATCTGTTTCTGAATCTACTTCTGCTATTTGTCTACCCTCAGGTAAATTCCCCTCTGGAGGCTGGTCTCCCCCTCCCACCCTCACCCTGCCCATCTCAGCAGTAACACCACCAACTGCCCACAGGGAATGGGATGCCAGTGTTTGCTTTTTAATTAAATTGAGGAAGAATTGTGTCTACTAATCAAATAGCCTATCATGCATGGATAACAGCGGAGGGCCTGAAAAGCACTTACAGGATAATCAGAGTTGGAGAACAACAAATATACAAATAGAGGTTGTTCTGGAAACAGGAGGCCACAGGAAGGCCAGGGACAGTGAGAGGACTAGCACAGGGAAAGGGGACACCATTCACGTTTTGTATGTTCTCCAAGAAACACCAAAGCAGCCCTGACCGGTTTGGCTCAGTGGATAAAGCGTCGGCCTATGGACTAAGGAGTCCCGGGTTCGATTCCAAGCAAGGGCATGTACCTTGGTTGTGGGCACATCCCCAGTAGGGGTGTGCAGGAGGCAGCTGATCAATGTTTCTCACTCATTGATGTTTCTAACTCTCTATCCCTCTCCCTTCCTCTCTGTAAAAAAAAAATCAATAAAAATATATTTTAAAAAAAAAGAAATGCCAAAGCATTCTGAGATTCTGACCCATAGCAACTGCCATTTCAGTGGGAGAAGGCCCAGTCTCAGTGTTTATCTGAGGGTGCGAGGGCAGCTCTGCGATTTGCATTCCTATCCTCCGCCCCAGGAGTGACTGCGGTACTCTGCTTCCCTCGGGGAAAGAGCATCACCCTCTGGGAGCCGTGGGTCTGAGGTCTGGTTGTGAATCACTGGCTGTGGGAGATGAAGCAAGTCACTGCTTTGTCTGGCCTCCACGCAGGGGTGGAGAGCTGCTTTATGTTTCAGCTCCCTTTGAGCCATAAAATTCTATTTAACTCTCCCCCTTTTCTCCTATTTTCATGGACTTCTGAGGCTTTCTGTATTAAGTTTGGCTCTTTTCCGTCTAAATTCATTCTGTTTATTAGAGATAACTGAACTCAGCCCTGCAAGGGTAAAGATAAGTTCCTGGTGCCTCTGTCCTAATAGCTGTAGAGCGGCCTCCCAACTCAGCTTCAAGTTTGAATTCATTTTCCTCAAAGAAACAATGGTTCCCAGGCCGGGCCAAAGAAGCTCACATTTGGTACTCACATAGCTGGTCAATCAAACCACTGAATGAACTATAGAATCACTAATAATAGAGCTTCCCATTGTTTCCATGGGAACCTCCACCCCATCTTCCAACTGGAAAATCAGGAATCTGAGAAACAAATTTCCTCTGTCCTCTCTGCTTTAGAAGCTAGGAGTGAGGCGTGGCTGGCCCTAACTCAGGGGATTGTGTGGCTCAACAGGGCCAAATGTGTATTTAAAAAAAGCAGCCCAGCCGTATAGCTCAGTGCTTGAGCTTTGACCCATGAAGCAAGAGGTCATGGGTTTGATTCCTGATCAGGGCACATGCCAGGGGTGCGGGCTTGATCCCCAGTGGGGGATGTGTAGGAGGCAGCGGATCAATGTTTCTCTCTCATTGATGTTTCTATCTCTCTCCCTCTCCCTTCCTCTTTCTCTAAAAAAATGAATAAAAACATATTTAAAAAAGAAAAAAAAGGTGGGGGCAGAATTAGCATTCTTTTTTAAATTAAATTTATTGGGGTGACATTGGTTAAGAGCATTATGTAAGTTTCAAGTGCACAGGTTTATGATAATCAACTGTATATTGCATTGTGTGCTCACCACCCAAAGTCTAGTTTCCCTCTGTCATCATCTATTTGACCCCCTTTATCCTACTTATCCTTTCCCACCCCCTTCCCTCTGGTAACCACCATACTGCTGTCTGTGTTTATGGGTTTAACATGTTCTCTGATGAAACAGACTTCATCTGCTCCTTCTCCTTGAGTGTGACTTCCCCTTATCTCACGCTCACACTCTCTCTCTGGACTCGAGTTCCCAAAGCCATTCTGATCAGGGGAGAAGCTGGCAGCACCCCTTCGACTGTACTTACTTCAAGGCCTCCTCTGGGTCCCTCTTGGCAGAAACCCTCCAGCACAGCTGTGTGCTCCTTAGCCGCCCCCTGGCTTAGGGCGGAACGAGCGCCCTCGCTAGCTCAGGGCCCTCCCAGCTCCCGTTAGGCCACGCTCCAAAAGGCACTTTGGAAAGTTCTCCTCCACAAAAGAGTTCTTTAGGAAGTTGAGGAGTAAAGCAAATAAATAAATTACAGCCAATGAGAGGATATTTAGATTTCAAATAAAATCTTACTCTCTTAATGACGAGCAGTTGGTAAAGTTGAATCTTTTTGATAAATGCCAAGAACCGAAGGAGAACGTCACGTCGACAACTAAAACATCTGGAGCAAAGGGGGAAAAGAAAGTCATTTACCGTGGAGTCCTGCTATCATCCAGCAAAGCTGTGCATGCAAAACATAAATATTTTTGCCTCCTTTGCGTATGGGGGCGGGGGGTGCCAGCTGCTGGCTCACATTTCGATCAGTATGAGGCTCTTTCCCGTGGGCCGTTCACGCCAGGCAGCCAGAGCGCACAGCACAAGCTCCAAACAGACCGGGCCCTCCTCGCGTGCAGGCCCCCCGTGGATAATCACTAGGAAAAAGCCATTTTCCAGCCCATTTACATCTCATATTCTCCCCGGGATCAGTATCTCAACTTGTAATTGGCCACGGCATCAGAATAAAACAAGTCACTGAGCAAGAAGTGCCTAGAACATGAGAATCAGAATGTGAGCGAGGAAAGCCTGCACCTTCAGAAAAGTCTGTACTACAGTGTTTACATAACAAACTCTAAAACCTGGCTCCCAGCGGCTGCCATGATCTTGGAGTCCACTGTTGCCAAATTTGAGATGCAGGCTTTCTTATCAAACGTTTGAAAACCTACCCATTGGTTAGAAAACCTCAAAAAAAATAAAGTCAGGAAGATAAACGCTGTGCTAACACTGCGTTAGAAAAAGGTCCTATTTCCTGTTCCTCTTTAATGTACACGGTACCCAGTCCGAGATGCTTCCCCACCCAGCTGGCTGTCAGAATCACTTGAGAAACTGATGAAAATGCAGATTCCAGAGCCACGCTCCTAGCTATTCTGACTGAGCGGGCCTGGGGCATGGCTGGAATTGGTGGTTTGGAATGCTCCCCACATAACGATCATCTACCGTCAGGTTTGGGCGCCCTTCACATCCTGCTGGGACAGGGACCAGTGCTACTCGTTTGTTTCCACTGTCGCCCATTTTGGTATGAATATCTTCTTCCTTTGATAAATGAATGGGGAGAGTAGATGATATTTTTTTAAATGAAAGTCTTTCCTTGACAGAATAAGAAGCTGGCCTAATTTTGTTGGCACCTCTAATTTTCTTACTGAAATTTTAGCAGTGTCTGGTTTTCAACAGTCTGAGAGTCCTGACTTTCAGTGGCTTCTCTAGAGCAACCAAACTCGTTCTGAAAGCCAGAGCACCTCATAAAAGTCTGCGCACATACAGCAGGCCTGTGCGAAATGGTGATCCTCTGTTCTGAGACAGGATGCTTGAGGGCTGGCTGGACTCCTCAGTAAAGGCATTTGAACAGACACTTGCTAAGTGTCAGGAGAACGTTCATCACTGAGGCACCCGGAGAAAATACATGTCCATGGAATCCACAAGTGTCCAGTGATGAAGACCCCAAAAGTCATACTCTTCTGAGTATCAACTGTGCACAAATCACAATTGGGGATATCACAGGGAAATAAAGCATTTGCAGTTATTCTGGAGAGATAAAATAGCTCAGGGGAAAAACACAACAATGACAGTCAAGGAAACACCCTGCGTGTTCTGAGGTCCATTAGCACCTGTGAGAGAGCACGGGGTGCTAGAGCGACCGGGAGAGTGAGAGCAGAATCCAGCCAAGCTGTTTGGAACACTTTCTCCCCAATGTTTCAAAGCAGAAGAGCAACAGGATTTGGTGAAAAGGGTGAGGTTACTCTAGGCCATGGACAAGGGTTTGAATGGTCATTGGCTAGCTGAGTGCAAGAGGTAGGAAGTGAGTTTGCTTGCTCAGAATATGCAAGGCATTCAAAAAAAGGGCAGGCAAAGGGTTGAGTGCAATCGATGGAGGCTCTAAAAGCAACCAGCAACTTTACAAGGTACTCTCAAAAACTTCAGAAGCATATTTTATAGGTGAGCAAGATCTGCATTTTAATACCCAAAATTAACTAGAAGGACATCACCAAGGCTGTATAGTATGGGCAAAGAAGTGTGGAATACTGAAATAGTATTTCAAGCAATTCAGACACAAACAGTCACCATGAGCCCAGTAGCTGAGAGGCACTTTTTAAGCTTGGCGCTCTGGCCGGTGCATTTGATTCCCTTTTGAGGGGTTTAGGATTAATTAGGCAGCACCAGCTCTCACCACGAGCATCAGCTCCATTATGACCTCACCCCTTCTAGGAAGACTGCACCAGAAACCTGCTCTACTTAGCATATGTTCCAAGGGACCTGGCGTATATGGCATACTATTCTTAATATGTTTGCTCCCCTTCTTAGCGCTATGTGTTCTAACCAGGGCCACCTCCCCGGGAAAGGTTGTTTCCCCAGGTGGGAATGTTTCCCAGGAGTTAGGGATTAATGGGACTAGGGACCAGTCTCTCTCTCACCCACAGGGACTCATGAGTACTCAGTCTGTCTACTGTAACTCATCACCATCTCTGGAATCCATCCTCTCTCCATCCCCATCTGCCTCAGTCTCAGCTCTCATTGTCCACCTCACCTGGACCACTGCAACAGCCTTCCTTCTATCTGATCTTTCAGAACTCACTCTTCCCTCTTCTAGCCCATTCTCCACCTGAGGCCATTCATTCATTCATACAACAACAACAAAATCCACTGATTGAAAATGGCTACTTTGTGCCGGACACTTTGTGCCTTCTTTGGTATCCATTTTTTATCACTTTGCTTTCCACCTGTCCCTACTCCATTTGCCTTAGTTACACAGAACCTCTTTTGGCTCCTTAAACAAAGCTTTTTCTCTCTATACTAGTGGGTCTCTGCTTAGAATACTCTTCCCCCTCTTCTTTGTCTGGCTCAACCTATTCATCTTCTAGGAAGCTTTCCTTGTCCCCTCTGCCACCCCAAGTCCAGTTAGGCTTCCTTTTCATATGCTTCTTATTGTACTTACATACAACATTGTAACAAGCTGTTTACTTATTTCTACCCCAATAGGCTATAAATACCATGACCAAGGACCAGGTCAGTCTTTTTTTGGTTACTGTATCCCTAGCACCTATCACAGTACTTGGCACATAGTAGTTGTTCAATAAATACTTCTTGTATGTATGAATGAATGAATGAATGAATGCAAGGAACTTAAGTTAATAGAATACTGGCCACTCTATTCTCTCTTCTCACCAAGGACATCCCAACTCTTCAGATGTCTGAATTCTCTGAACCATTTGGATTGGGTCAGCCCAATGGTCTCTGGCTTTCTCCACTTGCCTATCCAACTTACTGTCCTCTGTCGTCCTCAGTCACATCTGACAGTGGGCTCCTGCAGTCATGGAAGAGGCAGAGCAGAGGTCTATAGCGTTGGACTATTTAGATTTTCTGTCATTTAACTTGCTTCCTGAGCATTTGAACTCAGGAGATTCTCTTGCCTTCTTCACTTTCTAATACAAAGCACCAATGTCCACTTACCTTTGTAGGATGCTGCGGTCAGCATGCTGCAGGTGCAGCTCTCATTGGGCGCACTTTTGCAGAGCTCCCTGCCAGTGTCCACGTTCTTCACCATGCACCCCGAGTGTCTTGGAGTGATGCTTCCCACTAATGTCACTGTAATCTGTGGGAGGAAGAAGATGACCCGGGAACCAAATCACTGTCTGTCTCATTTCCATCCATTGCAGAATCTTAAGTGAACTCACCCTTTGACTCACCATAGAAGATTTCTCAGATTGCCGACGTAAAGAGAGATGTTTCACTGGCTATTAGGTTTGTTCTTTTGTGAATCACATATTCAATTCTTGGACTGTTTCTCTTCCTCAACCCTTGCTTATAGGTGAATATAAAACTGTCTCACCACCTTTATTATTTTATTTTTAAAAACTTATATCTTTGATCCATCTGGAGTTTATTTTTATATATAGTATGAGATAGGGTCCAACCTTAGTTTTAGCCAGATAGTTAATCAGCTATGTTGCAACCATTTACAAAACAAAACAAAAAACTCACTTGCCCAACTGAACTGAAATACCATTTTTGTCATATATTAGATGACCATATATTTAGAATCTATTTCTGAACTCTGCTCTGTTCCAGTGATCTACTGAGCTAATTCTATTCCAATTCATCAAGTTTTTACTACTGTGAATTTAAACATATTTACTATATGATAAATATATTTATATCCTTATTTTTATAATTTTCTTAGCATTTCCTAGATAATATTCTTCCATATAAAGTTTAAGATCATTTTGTCCAAAGGGAGTAAGGATATTGAACTGGAATTATACTAAATATATATACATTACTTTTAGGAGAATTTATATCTTTATGATATTAAATATTACCATCCAAACACATGATTTTTTTTCATTTGTTTCCCTTTGGTCCAGAGTTCGTTTAAGGGAGTGTACCTTTCCCTAGCTGGGTGGCTCCGTTGGTTGGAGCATTGTCTCATACACCAAGAGGTTGGGGGTTCAATTCCCAGGCACATACCCACGTTGTGGGTTTGATCCCCAGTCGGGGTGTGTATGGGAGGCAACCGATTGATGTTTCTCTTACATCGATGTTTCTCTATCTCTCTCCCTTCCTCTGTCTCTAAGATCATTAAAGCACATACACACACAACATATCCTCAGGTGAGGATTAAAAACAAACAAACAAACAAATAAATAAGAGGGTGTACATTGATTTTCCAGGTGTCAGCTCTGTATTTCTTATTGCTGGTTGCTAATATCAGTTTATAGTTAAGGACATCCCAACTCTTCAGATGTCTGAATTCTCTGAACCATTTGGATTGGGTCAGCCCAATGGCCTGTGAAATCTACTTTTAAAATTATTTAAGATTTTGTTTGTGGTGAAACATATGACCAAATTTGGAGGTGGTGACTATTCTGTGGGTACACAAGGGGCCACAAAAATAAAACCATGAAATTGCCTCTAAAGCAACTTTCCCCCCAATGAATGAACAAAAACAAGGCAGCCAGTCCTCCTGTTGAAAAGGAAACTTAAAGGAATGAATATGCCGATGGAGAGTCCCTTTGTACCAGGCGAAAGGTGGGCGAGGCATTAGAAAGCTGGAGCAGGGGAAGTGGAAACCCTATCCTGAGGCTGAAGAGCTGATCCCAGACAACCTGGGAGGGTCCACCTTCTGTTATACTCTGACCTCCGCCCAGACTTTCTGTGTGGCCACCTAGGATTCTGCTGTCCTTTGTCCTCTAATAAGCTAAATCTATCTTGGCCCGGGGGTCAATCCCATCTTTCTATTTGCACAGAATTCTGTTTCTGTGCCATAGAATGATGCTGGGAGAAGGCAAGTTCTTACAGTCCAACCTGGAAGAACCAGAGTCCATCCATCTCTAGGGACTTGAGGCTACTAACGTACTCCATGCCATTCCCACCAACTCGCTCATCTTCAACAAACGGCTGACCTCTCATCCACCTGCCTTCTTCAACCCTGCATTTATAGCTGCACCACAATCTCAGCATACAGTCACATCACGTATTACCCTGTATGCATATATATCTTAACTGTATTTTACTAAGAAAAGTTTTTTAAAATCCTATTTTTACCAGTTGTTTTAAATTTTTCACATTTCCTTCTAGTTCTCACATACATAGTTTTAATGTAACTATAATCATTGCATTTATTTATTCCATAAACATTTATCAAGCTCTTAACATGTGCCAAGAGCTGTGCAAAGTACTGACTACTCTAGTGAACGGAACAGCTACAGTCCTGATCCTCAAAGAGCTTATAGTCTAGTAGAAGGATGGAAAAGTCCACTAGACTAAATCTAGTCTAGTTTTAGGGCCACACAGGATTAAGAGATCAGTAAGAAAGGACAGAAGCCGGGGCTATGATGGTACAGTGGAAATGGACAGATTCAAGATGCCCTTTAGAGGCAGCATAGGGCAGGATTGGAAATGGGGCATGTGGACATGAAGGATTTGGGTGAGCAAATGGATGGATAGAGGTACCATGTACTGAGATGGGACACAGTGAGGAAGAGGCCAATTTTGGGTAGAAAATTCAAGATTTCAATTTTGAATGTGTTTAGTGTGTGATAATCAAGGGATATGGGCCTGGAGCTTGGACACACTATCTGGGGTTGAGATAAAGGAGACATGAACATATAGGTGATACATAAAGCTATGGGAGTGGGTAAGATTGTCTGTGAATAAAGTAGAGAGTCAGAAGAGAGGAAGAATCAAAACTGGGCCTGAAACAACTCTAATAGAGTCAGGGAGAGAAGGAGCCAGCAAGGGAGGCTGAGGCATGGCCGAGGAGAAGAAAGACAGCATGGACAGGGTGTGCAATGAAAAAGAAGGTTTCAAGAATCCGGCCAGTCAGCCAGGTAGGATGAGGACTTGTGGCATCTGCTGAAATGGCTACATGGAGTCAACCAGTGGCCTCAGCGAGGACAGTTTCCAGGGAACAGTGGGGCAAAAGCCAGTTTGAGGTGATCTGAAAATAGGAAAAAGCAAGTTTTTCTCAAGTGCTGTGGAAGGAAAGGTTAGCCAGGAAGTTGAAGGTATTTTTGTGTGGTTTTGGGTTCCAGATGAATATGGTTAAAAAGCTGAAGCCTTGGCTTAATAAACGCAACATGGAAATCCTTAAATCCTTAGCAGGTTGATAGTTCTTTCTTGAACTACAATGGATAAAGAGAAAATGAAGACACAAAGGATCCGATAAAGTTTCAGTGTCAATTAACTGATAATGTCCATGGGGGCCAAGGAACATTACACTAGGTCAACATGCCTTATTTTACTTAACTATTCCCCTTATTGCCAAGCAGTTCCATCATTTCCAGATTTCTAATTCTATAAATGCTACTGCAATAGCATCTGTATGCTTCTGGATTTTCTTCTTTCAAGTTACTTCTTCAGAATTCTAAGCCTGGAATTGCTGCTTGCAACAGAATGAATATATTTATGACTTTTGAAACATAGTGCCAAATTGCTTTCCAAAAAGATTGTGCTAATTGGCATTGCCAACACTAGGTGTTAGCATATCTTATTATCACTTTAATTTGTATTTATTTGGGAGCTGGTGAAGTTGAACATATTGCCATATCTATAGCTAACTCTCTAAACCTCTTCTTGTGAGAATATACACGTTGCCCACTTACTTTTGGTGTCTTAATGTATTTCTTTTTAATGTTTCCTAGCTTTAATATCTTGCAATTAATATTTTACTTATTGCAAATGTTTTCCTAATGCATGTGATTTAGTTACTTCTTAGTTTTTGTTGTATAGATGTTAAAAGTCAAGTTTATGAGTATTTTTTGTTATTTCATACTATATTGCTTCAAAGCTGAGAAAATTATACTTCCCAATTATTTGATGCTCAATTCTATTTTCTGTCAGCTTTTCATATGAACTTCTTAATTAACCTACATTTTATTTATTTTTATTATTATTTTTTTTCTTTTTTCCACTGTGTAACCCATTTCAGTGCCTGCAACCTACTGGCAGAGGCTGGGCAATGGTTCAAGGCCACAGTTTGCTCTGGTACGGGGCACTATGAGAGACCCAGGGGGACGGGCCTGCCATAAAGCCAAGCCCATGCATCTAAATTTTATTTTTATATTTAATGTAAAATGTGAATTAAATTACAGTTTTATATTGTAAGTTATCACAGTCCCTTTTATGAAATAATTATTGTGTTTCCTCTTATTTTATGGCATTTAATCTTTAAAAGTTTTACATCTACTTCTCAGCTTTTTACTCTGTTTCATGGAATAGAGTAAAAAGTATATTTTAAACCAGAATCATGGGCTGAATTATTGTCATTATATATATATGTTTACAATCATATGGAAATGGTCTTGCTTAAATAATTTTCTTTTTTCAAAATATATTTTGGATATTCTTAACCAGTTCATATTATTCCAGATGAATTTTATATTAACTTTAAGACAGAGTCAATTTTCACTGGGATTACATAAAATCTAGAAAATAGATTGAGGAAGATGTGACATTTTTATTATATCTTCCCGCCAAGAAACATAGTATGTGTCTGGATATGTTCAAGATACTTTTCATATCTTCTAAGAAAATACCTTGTGTGTTTTTGATTTTTACTTATGCTTTTAATTGATAAGTTTCCCTATTATGAATTATAAATAGCCTCAACAGATCACTGCCCTACATTCTAATTACTATTAGAAAAAAATGCTCAAGACAAGCTGTTATAAAGCCAAAATGACTATTTTTGGTAGTTGTCTTCAACATGCATCTCCTAGTAAACATGATTTTAAATATAGGGTATATAAGATTAAACCTGAGAATTTCTGTTGTTTTGATGAATGGGACCTTTTATTAATGGACATTAACAGTTTGTTTTATATCACATGTAAATAAAGCTATTGATATTTAAATGGTTGTTGAATACTTAACACTTTGTTTTACTTTTACTAATTTAAAGTTATACCAGGTATGCCGAAACCGGTTTGGCTCAGTGGATAGAGCGTCGGCCTGCAGACTGAAAGGTCCCGGGTTCGATTCCGGTCAAGGGCACGTACCTGGGTTGCGGGCACAACCCCAGTAGGAGATGTGCAAGAGGCAGCTGATCGATGTTTCTCTCTCATCGATGTTTCTAACTCTCTATCTCTCTGGTTGTTGAACACTTAACACTTTGTTTTACTTTTACTAATGTAAAGTTATATTAGGTAAAAGCTGATATGTTTGGATTTTGCAGATATACAACCCACTTAACAGTGGCAAACAATGGTATTTTTGTCTATTCCAGTCCAATAATTATTCCTAGTACTCGTTTCTTGTATTACTGGTCTGGACAGAACTGAAAATGATGCTGACTGAATCAGTGATGGTGAAATTCCTTGTTTTCATTATAATTTGTAAAAGAATGTTTCTAGTGACTCTCTTTTAGAATCCATGCTCTTTGTGGGAAATACTTCATTCTGGCATTTTTGTTTTTATCAGTATAAGCCATTTTTACTGCATGTTAAAATCTCCTTATCAGCAGACACAAACATACTTTTACATAGTGCGAGAACAGGATATGCCATTCATCCTTTTTTGTGTTTGTGTTTTTTTACTTATCTATTCCTTACCTCTCCATCAGGCATTCCATCAGGGGAGCCCATGTTTCCAACCTAGTAATCAATTCTCCATATTTTTCTCAAATAACCATGAAGAGACATATACGCATAAACTTAGATAGGGACTTTTTGATCAAAACATACTTTTCTGCATCTTGCTGTTTTTACTCAACCTCATGGAAATCCCTCCAAGATGCCTGGATTGCTCTAATTATTTCTTTTTAATGCTGGTTTCTTCATGAGAATGAGAATATACTATCTTCTCATTGTTTTGTGTAAAGAGATGAAGCTTCTTGGGAACAGAGTCTCTGTGTTATAGGGGAGTTTTCTGTACCTAGAAAGTTACTACAATGCCATGAGGTATAAGATGGGCAGTTCACCAACACTATGAAAAGAGCTGGTGGGTAGAATTGAGGAAAACCATAGACTGCCCTCTCTGTAGGTCGGGATCAGGTATTATTTAAATAAACAAAGATGTGCCTGACCTGCGTGGCTCAGTGGTTGAGCATCGACCTATGAACCAAGAGGTCACAGTTCGATTCCTGGTCAGGGCACTTCGATTCCTGGTCAGGGCACATGCTCCGGTTGCAGGCTCCATCCCCAGAGTGGGGCGTGCAGGAAGCAGCCAATCAATGATTTTCTCTCATCATAACGTTTCTATCCCTCCCTCTCCTGTCCTTTCTGAAATCAATAAAAATATATTTTAAAAAAGAATAAATATAAATAAATAAATAAACAAAGGCCTGAGACTTTCGGGTAAGTCATCAACGACCACAGAACGGAAATATTTTTGAAACATTGTGACCAAAAGATGGAGTCAAATGTCCTATCAAGACTGTTAAAATAATCAGTCCAAAGCTGGTTTCAAAGGCTAGTTTGACTCAAATTACTAAATCTTTATCTCCTTTATCTTGAGATTGATGGTGAGCTGGAGAGATTGAGTAATGGCTGTGTGGGAAGAGGAGAGGGATTAGGGTAAACCGCAGAGGGACTCAGGGTGGGAGGGAAGTAGTGTGGCTGTTTGGGTGGTAAACAGTTTTTGTATGATCCAGACTAGATATAAATGGTGGTTAATTTATAAGAGTGAACCCAAAGAGAGGTAAGCAAATTGCATAAGCAGCACTTTTTATTTAATGAACAAGTTACATTCCCTCACTATATTTACCTGAATTGTTACCCTTAAAATTTTCAAAATGACAAAACAAAAAAATCTTGCATAATCTTAACCACTTATCAGAGTCCTGGGTAGATTCAAGGATTATGGTATTTTCTCTCACTCTCTATCAGCACCAACGATTTTTTCAGACTGAAATAAAAATGTGGTCATGCCTACGCTTAGATGCCTGTGTGCTTTTTTTACAGTATCTATTCACTCTTGACTCAGGCCTGTTTGGATGAGGCTTTGAAAGTTCTTTTTACATCCCCTCCCCCCAAGAACACAATAGAAAGTGACAACAACCAAAAAACTTTAAACCCTTGAGAGTTCTGATCAGTTATGACTTGAAAGCTTGATTCTTTTATTATTTATCGCTCATTAAATGCTCTGGCTCTCCTTTATTAAATGTTAAATCATCTTAAAAGGTATGGTGCTTGCTAGTTGAAATGGCAAAGTGTAAGAGAAAAAAGAAAATGGCCCATTTCCTTATTAATGTGACATTCAAATAAAACAGAGTGAGGTCAACTGGCTGCTGATGGGGGTTCTGTACAATCATTCATAATACAAGAGCCATAATTAGGGAGACAAAGTCTCCTTACAGCACGTTGAGATAGCAGGGCAGGAATTCCACCTTCCCACAGGAGACGGTTAGTATGTGAATCAGAAAATGCTTGAATATACTCATTTCTTCCTTTCTCTCATCCAGAGACAGGGTTGACTGGCAGTTCGGCCTTGGCAGGAGCCCACGGGCTTTCTTTCCGAGGGACCCCACTTATAGTATCCACTGCCCACAGCAGTTTCTCTCCACTCTACCAATAGTGCTTGAAGCCACGTTCATAAAATAGCTGTAGGAGAAGCCTGACCACATAAGGAAAAGGAATCATAAAACAAAACAAAATTCTACACTAAGCCACATTTAAGGCATCTTATTGACCATGAGTCTGAATTTCTTTTTTCTCTATTTTTTAAATCAATATGTTTTCATACTACATTAAAAGTCCATCTTTTCTTTAAATTCAACTATTCAGGTTCATCTGCAGCTCCCCGGGCTAACTAACTCACATGGACAGGTCCATGGTGTGTCTTGGTCTCTGCTGTATCCCTAGCACCTTGCAGAGTGCGTGGTGTCTGGTAGGCTCTCAATAATAGTTAATGAAGTGAATGACTCTCCTAACCAAGCATATTTGTTCGCTAATAGGTATTTTTCACACAGAAGGAAGTTAGCATCAATTGTGCAAAACGAGACAATACAATGGAGGCAAATGAAAACCTTTCCTCTTACCTTATCTTTACTTCTTTGAGAGATGTGGATTTGGGGGCACATTTTAGCTCCTGATGAAATATCCAGCCAGTTTTCTGAGTTCTCTGAATGTACACAATCATCTTTAAAAGTACACCTATTAAAAAAGGGGAGGGCAACAAAACAGCAACCCCACACACGCATTAGTTAAAACTTTCTCACACTGGCGTCAGCACAAAATCCCAAGCTTTGTACGGTGGATTATTGGTTTTGAGAAAGAATAGGAATGAGTTGCTAAAAGCATGAAAAGCAACAGGAACAGAGCAGAGCGTGTTTCCCTATCATGTCTGGGAGCAGAGAACAAATGCAAACAACATGTTGAACTTAGACTCCAGAGCCATCTCTTTAGTTGCCAACTCCAAATACATCACAAGCACAGTCTCTCGTGGATTCTGAAATTAAAGAGCTCCCTTCTAGAAAAACCTAGCAAAGTACAGCCCAAGAAAGGGTTTATATACTATACATATTTTAGGTTTGCAATTCACTCCCAGAATACTGACCTATTGCATAAGTTATTTTGTAGTAAAAAACCCAACACATAACTACTTTGTACTTTTTCAATATGATGATTAAATAAAACTATGTCAAGGGCAGAGTCTTCCCAAGAATTTGATAAGATATCCCATGACTATGTGCTACCTAACATTCATTTATTTATTTAGATATACCAAATTATATCAAAAGATATGGGGGAGGCACTTTCCAGGGCCACTTTCCTCAGAGGAGGCCCCCAATGAACCACGCTGTGCTCAGGGCCAGCTACTCTGAAAACATGATCAGAAGCAGAGTGCTGAGATCACTTGGTTTGCTCAATGTCTCGGTCACTCCAGGTCATGCTGACTTGGGACCTCTTGCTTCCCCAGAGGGCTGCCAGCCGATAGGAAGAATGAGCGCCCAGAGCCACATTATTTCCAAGTAGCGTTGGACTCCACAGACATTTCATCGAACAATGTCAAGGAGAGAAGAAAACCTCTCTGTTATGTCTGCCTCCGGAGGGCCGACGGCTCAAATGAAGAGGTAGGAGAGAACCAGTGACGCTGTTGCAAAAGAAACTGAAAATTCATGAATCATGAGATTGAAATGCAACCCAACGGTAACTACATTCAGTGTGGGAGTCCCTGAGAGGATCGGAGTAGAATGAGATGCGGGCCCAAACAGTGTATTTGACATGCATTGACATTTTACAGGTGTTTCTTTCTTCTTCCATCCCTCCCCGCTCTTCTCTCTTTTAAAATTCTTAAGAATTTAGGCCCCATGGTTTTGTCTTTGAGCTCTGTGCTAATTTGAATATGACAAAAATAGAACAGGAAACCAGTGAGTTTCATTAGACATCATCCGCAAGCACAATATTCTCAGCATGTCATCATATTATGACATTTTGGGGAGCCCTGTTTCCAGTGAGCGTGCCTGTGTCTGAACTTACCTACATCTGTGCCAGTTCCTCCCCCAACACTTGACCAGTGGGATTGTCACCGGCAATTCTCCAAAGCCATACATTTATCTGACCCTTGATGGCTAGCTCGTCTGTCATGGACATTTAGTTCAAATTAAGTCACCTCTCAAAGTCAGGGGGAGTTGGCAATGGAGGGACATGTACCACTGGACTGGAAATCAGAGACTGATGAGGCTGGTTTCTAATTCTGTAATTGGAAAAGATGATGACTGGCAAGAACGAACTGCCTCTCAGGGGCTCTCTGGTTTGTACAAGGCACTTCCTCTGCCGATAAGAAAGAAAAAAAAAAGCCAGTTTTACAGAGACTGGAGTACAAATATTTTGTAGGCTCTTAATGCTGCCTGGGAGTCAAGGCCCAAGGCTGCCAAAAAAACAAGTGTAAAATATTTCATACAAATAGTGCTACGATTTGCCAATTTGTAGGCAGAAAACAGTAGTGCCACTGAGTTATCACTCTCTTTTCTGAACTCCTATAGCATTTCTTGTCGGAAGCATACGTTTTGGTATTTAATCATATGCTGCCTTGAATTACAATTTAACTGTTTCATATGTCTATGTCATTTCTCCCCGAGTAAGCTCTAAGCTCCTCAAAGGAAGAGAGGATGTCTTTAATATTTCTTCAGCAAATCCCTCAGTGTCTGGCAGCATGATATGCAAATACTAGGGTTTCAATAAATATGTTTGAATAAATGGATGAAATATGAAATCTCTATAGGTCCTTTCTGTTGGTGATTTTTCTCTCTAGTTTCCCTATGATTTATGTCTGACTCCTACTTACAGTAAGGAGACTATTTTTAACATAAGCCAAAAGTTCATATCTGGGGTTGGAGAGGGAACAAATTAGGAGTTGAAGTTTTTTAGTTTATCTTTTGTAAAAAAAAAAAAATGTGTGTGTGTGTGTGTGTGCGTGTGTGTGTGTATGAAATAGACCTTCCAATTCCTATTTTGCATAAGGTAAAAACAAAATCTAACCATGTTAAGCAACTAAACATGAATTCCTTGTTTATAAAGCACTTTTGAAATTTCTAAACTCCCATTCCTTGCTTCTCACCATTTAAAACATAAAATTGAAAAAAAAAATCGTGACACCCAGAATGTATAACCAGATGGCCAACCAACAACAGTGTCTTATTACTTCTCCGATATTACAAGTTATAAAATCTTCATGACAGCACATTACCCACACATTCAAACTTCTTAAGGAAGGGGAGCAGATCTTAGAGCTCCTACATTTTAGTAAACAAAACCAGTTACTTTGAAATGATCCCTTTTGAAAGCTAACCCTCTGACTCCCATGTATGAACAAAAGCAATGGTCAAGCGCATAAACACTTAAGCCATTGCTCAAATAAAATTAAAATCTCAGTCAGACACCAGGCTTGGTGCGGGGGATCCTCCATGAGTCACTCCCAGATAGACTGATTTCTTAATTGGCTTCATTTCATTTTCTTCAGGTCACAGCTAGGAGGGGAATCGGATTCGCTTTGAGATGCGTGCATTCTGGAGAAAATGGCAGAGACAGATTTGCTATCCTTACCATACACCACTGCCATTTCCCCAGCCGCTGCTGGGAGTCCACCCCGAAGTCTTAAGATCCCAATCAGTATTTTATTTTTCTAGTCCTTCATCCAGCTAGATCTCATGCTCACATGACAAGGCCAATGTGCAACACTAGCCCATTCGCAAATTAGGAAATGAAACAATCTCAAATGCAAAGACAAAACTGCTTGAATTAAAAAAAAAGCACACAATAACCAATAAGTTAATTAAAAAAGGCTTTCCTTGGGTGAAAAACATTGTATGAGGAAACAATTTAGTGAATGAAACTATTTAAGAAGGCTTGTTCTTATCCGTTTGCTATAAAACCTGCTATAGAGCTTAATTTATTCTAAATAATAAGAGTTTGATATCCCACTCAACTATGTGTACATGGACCACCCCTCCCCCACCCCTCACTCCTAATGAAGTATGTTCAAAACCTACCCAGGCCCCGACTCATGAACAGGGAGATTCCAGACATTTGTTTCTAAGTTTGCTGGTTAGAACTCAGAAAAGATTTTCATTCTGTGGGTTTGCTTCCTGAGTTGATGGAAATCTGTCTAAACCCTAACATCCGCTAGTAACTACCCCACCACGCAGCTGCATGGACGGGGCGCTGCCCCATGCCAGGTACTGGTCTGAGGGTTGGCAGTTAGTACTTCCCCGCTAGTCCTCACACAGCCTCACTGTATAGGCATGGAACTGAGGCTCAGACAACTGCAACACCATGCCAAGGTCACACAGCCAAGGGACAACCGTCTGACTTCAGAGCCACACACCTGGCCACTCCGTTGCGTGGCTTCCTATGAGCCCTAGCTGCCATTCATAAGGTGCGCGAGGATAAAGATAGTCAGAGTCCTCCTGGCCGACTGGGGTCTCCACGGTGGTTGCAGGATGGGGCTGGGACTTGGCTGGGACAAGGCGCCGGAGATGAGGACTGCAGCAGCAGAGAATAAAGAAAGCGAGGAATAGTTTCGAGGATGAAAAGGGCAGCAAGGATTTAGGAGGGGTGGGGATTCTGAGAGGTCTCTAATTTTCACTGATCACCCTGAACACAGAATATCCAACTACAGGTTCAAATTTCAGGAGGCCCCAGCTTCAAAAAACTATTGTGCTTTTTAAAATTTGCTTGCAAACCATCTGTTTGTAATATGGAATACCTTTTCTCCCCATAGAACTAATGTTATGAACAGTGATTAGGTTTTCAGGTTCGTTCACAAAACCCATTTATCCATAATGTTACCTCAATACTACATATTTGCAATAAAAGAGAAGCAGAAAACAATGAGATTGCACCATTTGCATTATATAGCAGTTTTTCTTCTTTACTTATTTGTGTTTCGGCTCAGCTGGTAACCTGGGAACAGTGCCCAGCTGGATCGACTTTTACATCCATTACTATAGTATTGTATTTATACAGTTTTTCTGTTTTTTAATAGGTATGGCTTAAATTATTAATTGTTTCCATGCCAACATAAAGAACTGGGAGACCCACCTCTGAACAGGAGCTGAACCTTCCAGGCAGGTGAAATGCCCGTGGGCCAGGCTGGGGGACCTTGAGAACCTGACTCTATTAGGCCAGAATCTCTCAGTAAAAATTTACCACTTACTCAACCTTGAAATAAAACTCTGAACTCAGAAATGTAACTTCTACTTTGGGCGCCCCTGGAACTTCATCAGCATTCTCTAATGTAATTGTTCACCAAGAGCAGACAGTCCCTGAGAAAACTGATAACTAAATATCAGGTAATTGGCCTGAATGTGGGGGTCGGTGAGACCCGTTCCAAAGAGTCTATGCTGATATAATATCAGAAAACTTGTAACAAGGACAGTCCAGCCTCTCCTTCAGGGAACAGGAGACTGTGTCCACACTGGGGGGAGGCTTCGCTACAAGAGCATCCCAAGGTCTCTGCCAAGTGACTTGAAACAGATGTCTGTATTTTTAAGAAAGGCACAGAGCCCAGAGGAGGACCAGGTGCTCCCTGGAATCAGGGGACTTTCATTAACATTGTCAGTCCATGAGATGAAGAAACCAAACTGAATTGAATAGATAAAAAAAAAAAAAAAAAAGGAAGTCATGGTGACAAACTAAGTCTGAAGTCAAGG